TTCTTACAATTATATGTTTGTGTTAATTTGTTTAATGTGAGACACTAGATATTCACATTATGAATGTAATCCGTCATTTAGGAATGTTTGCTGTCCTATACCATTGTATCTCTGACCTGATGATGGAATTGATGGTATTCTTGTACCTCATTGCTACTCTAGAATTGTTCTTTCATCTCCCTAAAAGTCTCTTTGCTTTCATTGGATTATATCACCAACTATCACTCCTTGTGTGACTTTACTTCCTTATCATTGATTTGTTTGGATAGCTTAATTAACATTACTTTTCTTAACTGGTTTTGGAATTTTAGATAAAAACTCATCTGGTAGAAATTTAATTTCTTTTGAATGCTTAACTCTTTCCATCTAGAAGTTTTATGACTGTCTTCACTAGGTTCCAGGGATCTTTAGGGCCCCCAAGTTCAGAACTAGATCTTAAAGTACCTCCTCAAGCACCTCAGGGCTTTATGTAAAATGGGATATTGTAGAACCAATGACCTTGCTTAACAGCTGCTTGAACCAGGGCCTAGCTGTAGGGCTGTATTAATTTCCTCTGACCTTCCTGGAGAAGCCATAGCTTCAGACAGCAGTGTCTTGCCACCTTTTTCAGAATCCCTTTGTGGAGAGAGAATCCAACTCTTGGCTGTAATAGTCCAACTCCAGTTTTCTTTGTCATATTGGACAGTAGTCTCTGTATGAAATAAATTTCCCTGTTACTCTACACACTCAGAACCTGTTAAGCCACAGCTTCAGTCCCACAAACCTCTTTATATTTCTACTTGATTCATGGAATTGTATTACTAAATATCAGAGTATTGGTTCTAGCAGTCTTTTTCAACACTTTGTTTTTATTTGGAAGTGGAGAAGCTTAACAACAGGTTATTGCCTTCAGGTTGACATTCCTGTCCTTCAGAGTAAAGTTCATGTGGCTCTTTTCCTTGCCTTGCAAAATCATTCCCTCCCTCTTACTTTTTTTATTTTTAATATACCCCTTGGTTGCTGTCTCCTCCAAGATACTTTAACTCTGTTCCCCCATTGGGCCAGGTACCCTTCAAGCCTGTACCCCAGCACTCTGTGCATGCCACTGATAACATTTTACCATAGTTTGGTTGTTTTTCCCACATTTCCTAATTGTTTGCCTTATCAGGAGGCTTTTACGCTTTGAAGTTTAAACTAGTTTTCATTCATCATTGTATACCCAGGACTTAAAATATGGTAGACACTTAATGTTTATTAATATGGACTGAATAAAATGTTTGATGTCAGGTGTTTTCATATTTTCAAAGTTTTAACACCAGCTTAATGGTGAGACATTAATATAAGGTGTTGTAAACTATATCTCATTTACAGTATTAATTGAGAAGTATTCTAAAATCAGTCCGTATTTGACAAATTAACCAGAAGGTGGATGTATGGTGATTAACCTTTTATAAAACACCACTTATAACTAAACTCAGTTATATGTGTGATTAGTTTTGGTTTGGCCAATACAGAGAAAGTTTACTTTGTAATACCAAAGCTGAAAAGTAACAGAAAGAGGAGTTGTAATAAAATAAGAGAAATTAGCCATTGGAATGGCTGAGATTATAATCTCCAAGTCACATAATTCCTCATACCACTGAAGAAATCCAAAAGGAAAGAGAAGTCCAACTGAAATATCTGTTTGAGGAGATACATGATCTAAATACACAGTCCTTCATACTTTCATAGCTCTTAATGCCCCTCTCTTTTGATATAGAAACTAATTTTATAAAGTTGACCCTAAGTGATCAGGAAAAGGTTTTAAGCTATAATCTCTATACTTTCTGAGGAATAATATAAGTAATATATTTTTATTTTTTTAAAAGATCTTTACTTATTTATTTTTAGAGAGAGGGGAAGGGAGGGAGAAAGAGAAGGAGAGAGACATCATTGTGTGGTTGCCTCTCATGTGCCCCTACTGGGGACCTGGCCTGCAACCCTGGCATGTGCTCTAACTGGGAACTGCACTGGCAACCCTTTGGTTCACAGGCTGGCTCAATCCATAGAGCCAAACCAGCCAGGGCTAAGTAATCTATTTTTAAAGAATTTTCCATAAAAAATGGTTCTAAGTACAGAGCTTGGATTAAACCTTTACTTGTTTGGAACCCTCACTTACTGAAAATACTCCTTTTTACTAATCACAAACTCATTTCTGTACTTCGTTGTGTTTACCTGGCAGAAGTCGTACTCATATGGATCTCTTTTATTTATTATTAGTAGGTTAAGTATTGCTAAATTTGTTTTGTTTTATTTTTATGGTGCCTGCAGAACTCGAGTAAAAGTACCTAAATCATTACTGTTTTAAAGTCTGTACCTTCTGAAAATTGAGCCTGTGCTCAGCAGTTTAAAAATAATATGTAGGAGGATTAAAACAACAATATGTTTTGTGTTTGTGTAATAATCTCTACATTAGTAAGTTAGTTCAGATGAATTTCCCCTTTAGTATTCTTTCATTTTTAAATGTGTAATCTGTCTGTTGCCCCTCATATCTTTTATTTATTCCTGTTGACTTTAGCTTTGTTTTTAATGGACTATCATTTTATCATAGTCTGTATTTCATAAGGTCGTTTAATGCCTATTTGCTGTCTTAGAAATTCACTGTATTTTCTTTTTAAGAATTGGAAAAACTTAATTCTGAAATTACTACCAATTGATAACTATAAAATGTTATACTACCTAAACAATTCGGTTTAATTAAAGTATAGATGGTGAGGTGGCACAGCAAAGATTCTATTTAATGAAGAATGAGAATATTAGATTTTGAGGTTAAATGCTATAACCAGTACTTGAAGATTTGTTTTGGAGGAGTCTTTTTATTTTACTTTATTTCATTTTTAAAAATTTAATCTTTATTGTAATTTTTTTATCATTTAATCCTCCTAAATAAATAAAGTATATTTAATTGATTACACTATTACAGTTGTCCCAGTTGTTTTTCCCCTTTGCCCCTCCTCTGCCTGGTACCCCTCTTCCCTCCAGCAGTCCTCCTTGTTCATGTCTATGGGTCGTGCATAGAAGTTCTTTGGCTTCTCCATTTCCGACACTGTTCTTAACACCCCCTTGTCTATTTTGTACCTACCAATTGTGTTTCTTAATCCCCATACCTTTTCCCCATTATCCCCCTTCCCCGTCCCTGCTGATAACCCTCCACGTGAACTCCATTTCTATGATTCTCTTTCTCTTATGCGGGGCTGGGATCGCTAGCACCCCTCTTATAGAGGTTTGCTTAGTTTGTTTTTGGTTTTATTAGATTCAGTTGTTGATAGTTGTTCGTTTGTTGTCATTTTACTGTGCATAGTTTTGACCTTCTTCTTTTTCTTAAATAAGTCCCTTTAATATTTCAGATGCTAAGGGCTTGGCGGTGATGAATTCCTTTAGCTTATTGCTGGATAGAGTACAACCAAGGACCTTGGTTGTAGGTCCTTGCTTTTGATCACTTTGAATACTTCTTGCCTGCCAAGTTTCTTTTGAGAAAACAGCTGATAGACTTCTGGGAACTCCTTTGTAGGTAACTCTACTTTTCTCTTGCTGCTTTTAAGATTCTCTCTTTATCTTTTAACCTTTGGCATTTTAGTTGGGTACGATGTGTCTTGGTGTGGTCCTCTTTGGATCCAACTTGTTTGGGACTCTCTGTGCTTCCTGGACTTGTATGTCTGTTTTTTTCACCAAATGAAGGAAGTTTTCTTTAGCTGTTTTTTCAAATACATTTTCAATTTCCTGCTCTTTCTCTTCTTCTGAAATCCCTATGATTCGGGTGTTGGCCCTTTTGGAGATGTCCCCAAGTCGTCTTATTGTCTCCTAGTTTTTTTGCATTCTTGTTTCTTCATTCTGTACTGGTTGACTGTTTATTTCTTCCTTATGTTCCAAATTGTTCATTTGAACTCCGGCTTTCTTCCCTGCACTGTTGGTTCCCTGTGGGTTTTTCTTTATTTTGCTTAACGTAGTCTTCATTTCTTCTCTTTAATGTGTTTGCCATACTCAGAGTTTTCTGACCATCCTTATCACCAAAGTTTTGAACTCTGCATCTGATAGATTGCTCGTTTCCATTTCCCTTAGTTTGTTTTCTGGAGTTTTGTTCTGTTCATTTGGGCCACATATCTTTGTCTCCTCAGTGTGGCGGCCTCCCTGTGTTTGTTCTGTGTCTTAGGTAGAGCACCTTTCTTTTTTTTGTAAGGGACAGAGCCTTCGGTATTTGCCAGAGTGGGGAACTGATTTGCCATTTTGTGGCACTGTGTGGAGGGAGAAGTCATGGAGGGGACAGTGCCAGTTACTCGGCCCTTGGCCTGTTTCCAGTTACTTCCCCCCATGTCCCGTACACAACTCGTGCCCTTCTTGTGTCTGCCCTGGTGCTGAGTACCAGAGTTGGTGGGTTTGCATGCTTTCTAGGACCATGTGGGTCCTTTAAATTGAGTCTCCTGGGACACTGGCAGTTTCTTCTGCCACCCCAACCCCCACTGGTTTTTACAGCTAAAAGTTATGAAGCTTTATTTTCTTGGTGCTGGAACCCTGGGCTGTGGAGCTGGATTGCTAGCACCCCAGGTGTCTCTCCAGGTTTTTACCTGCCACACATTGGTGACCCTCCTGCCAGTCTGGATGAATGTTTCTTCTTTAAATCCTTGATTGTCGGAGTTCCATACAGTTCGATTTTCTGGCAGTTCTGCCTTTTGTTTTGTTTTGTTTTGAGGTTAGTTGTGATCATTCCTGTGTTTGTGCAGGGAGCTGAAGCATGTCTACCTACATCTCCATCTTGGCCAGAAGTTATGAAAGCCCCTCCCTGAAGTTTTTATCTTCATTTATCTTATTCTCTAGATTTTGAATAAACTTAAAAACATTTTTTTAAAAATATTTTTTAACATACAGACACTATTTCATAGTAGTTGCTAACCTTTTAAAAGACAGAGTTCTAAACATATTCTTGACGATAACTTGAAACTTGTTTTCCTTTATTTTAATTTTTATCTTTTAATGTTCCCTTACAGAATGTTTCTCCATCCCAGAGAGATGAAGTGATTCAGTGGCTGGCTAAACTCAAGTACCAATTCAACCTTTACCCAGAAACATTTGCGCTGGCTAGCAGTCTTTTGGACAGGTTTTTAGCCACTGTAAAGGTAATTAATTATTTTAGATACACTTAGCCCCAGCCTCTTGTTTGAATGTATATATGCTAAACCAGGGGCTATTAGTAAACATTCTATAAGCTGAAAAAGAATGGGAAAACCTTCATGGCCATGATTTGTGTACCTGTAAGAAGACATGATGTTTTCTATTGCTAAAATTTTCAGAAATATTTCTACTGTATTCTGTAAATTTTTATTAAAATATTTTATTTATTTTTAGCTCTGACTGGTGTAGCTCAGTGGATTGGGAGTCATTCTGCAAACTGAAAGGTTGCCTGGTTCAGTTACCATTCAGGGTACATGCCTGGGTTGCAGGCCAGGTCCCCAGTTGAGGGTGTGTGAGATGCACTCAATCAATGTTTCTCTGTCACATTGCTGTTTTTCTCCCTCCCTCTGTCCCTCCTTTACCCTTTCTCTAAAAATAGAATCTTTATTTAATTTTTTAAAAGGATTTTATTTATTTTGAGAGAAAGGGGAAGAGAGGGAGAGAAACATCAAAATACCAGAGAAACATCAATCAGTTACCTCTTGTACATGCCCCAACCAGAAACTAAACCCAGAACCCAGACTTGTGTGCTCATTGGGAACTGAACCAGCCTATGACACCCAACCAACAAAGCCACATCTGTCAGAGTATATTCAGTAATTTTTTTGCTACAAGCATTTCTAACATATTTAACCTGTGAAATTTTTGATCTGCTTTTAATACCATATAGCATTGACAGAATGTTTAGTGATCTTTTATATAACACATGATGTACTAATGTGGACAGTGACTCTTAAGTAGGAAAGTATAAGCCTATTGCAAATTTTTCTCTGTCATTTTTTTTTTGTTTATCAAATATTGTTGTGAACAATATATACTTTCTAGAGGTATACATTTGGAGCACAACAAGATGAACCAAACTGTCATAAATAACTTGGTATATTTTTGTTGAATGGCAGTGTACAAACATATGAGAGAGCCCTGGCTGAGTGGCTCAGTTGGTTGGAGCATCATCCTGTACATCAAAAGGTTGCCGACTTGATCCCCAGTCAGTGCATGTACTTAGGTTGTGGGTTAGATCCCTGTTGGGGCACATATGGGAAGCAACCGATCAATGTTTCTTTCTCCGCCATCCCCCTGCCCTGTCCTCTCTTTCTAAAATCAATAAACATATGCTTGGGTGAGGATTAAAAAATATATAAGTTTTACATTGTCCTTGTTAGTATATCTTTGGTTATATTATGCAGAAGCAGTCATAGTAGGCCCTCAACAGATTTAAAGCAGAAAGTTAGTATTTACTTAATGGCAAGGCATGAAAAAATAAAAAAGCACTTCAGTTGTTGTTATTTGTATGCCTAAGAATATGTAACCAGGGAGAACTATGAATTCAGTACTGAGGGTACTTTCTTATTAGATATAAAAATAGAAGCCATTGAATCCGGATGGCTATTCAGTTACCTTGTTATGTTTCAGACTTCTACTCTTAAGAGACCTAAAAACCTCTTAATTATATTGATATCAATTGCCTGAAGTCTGGGTTATCTGAGATGCCTACTTTTATCTCAGTACCAAGTCCCACATCCCTCCACCCTAACCCCCTAGGACAGCTAACCTCCCTTTCACAGACAAAGAGGTGTTTAAGGTCAGTATCCTTTCTTGGGTTGTATATTCTTCAAAAATTATTAATGAACTTACGGTAGCTTCTGTTACAGAAAAGCTTATTATTGACCTCATTAAACATTTTAAACATCTTGGCCTTTTGGCCAAGATCAAGTGTAATTTTAAACAGATTTGGGCAAATTTCTAAAACAGAATTTTGCCAAGGATAATCTCATTTTTTCATATTTCTTATTTAATGGGTCCTATCATGTTAATTGCATCAGATACTGTTATTTAGAGATGAATAGTCCATATTGAAACAATCTAAAATGTATTCATAGTTTAAATAAAGGCACTGAAAGTACACCATAAAAGGGCTATCATAATGAATGGAGCCTTAATCCCAGCTGTGCAGAATAAAGTGCTATGATGCTCTGTGAAAGTGTGGGCCCTGAGTCCTCTCCCAGACTTAATTGATTCTGAATGTCTGGTAGTTTGTCTGTATTTAAAGAATACATCCTGATGTATAGCCAGGTCTGAGAACTGCTGTTGGTTTAAAAATCACATTTGCTGCTGGGGTTCTTTTTATTACTAAACTTATTACTAGTGCCCTTCATTTAGGGGTTGTATTGTCTGCCCAAAGTTGTTAATTGTTGGACTCTTTTCTTTGTAATGGACTCCGATTACCTCAGGGATGTGGGTTTATGTTCTCTACACAGGGAAATAGGGGAGCCTGGAAAACTATCTTAACAACAAGGTCTGAGTCACTTAAGACATAGCAGAGTTGACAATATTTATGGAAGTACTTTCTGAATTGTATTAATTGATTAGTATTAATGATTATTTTAAAATATTAATAATATTGAACCAGCTTTTATTTTGCTGTACAGGCAGAAGGTTTTAAAATTCCTATACAGTATCCCATTTGTACTGAGGCAATGGTCATTGGCATGTTTCTTAAAATAATTAGTCAGGGCTAAACTCTGGTCTTCAGAAGGCTTCCCCAATCTCACAGGAATAAATGTAATATTTACATATAAAATACACGTTGATGCAGGTTTTCTTTGTGTTATATCACTGACCTCTGTGTCATTCAATATAATTTTATGGACTAAATTGTTTTGGTTATTTAAACAGTAGATTCTGATACTGGATTGGCAAACCCTTATTCTACCAGTAAGGTAGGAAGTGGACCAACTTCCTTCATTATAGGTAATGAAAACAGGCAAATTCCACTCCTACTATATGTATCAAACCCAAGAACTTTTTTTCCTTTTTACCCAATAATTGATTCTGTATATATTTAGGAGCCTTTCCTTCTTATCATGGAACTTGAATATATCATTTTGTGTGTGTGGGCATTAAGAACTAGAAAATTTCTACTCATCTGCTGTCTTCCTATAATTTTTTAAAGCATTTGAACTATATTAATTGCCTTTTTATATTCTATTTAATTCACCTAATACTTAATATGTTGATTTTATTGATACAAGAGAGTAAAACTAGCTTAAAAGTACACACAAACATATATTTTTAATTTGGGGAATTTTTTAAATTAAAAATTGTCTTCTAAAATAAAGCTCTTTTATGCTGGATAGAAATGAACTTTGGCAAACTAGCATTGGCTGAACTTCCAGCCATGGAAATGATCCTAGTATTTCTACAGAACATGGTATGGGTAAGGGAGTTGAAATTAAAAGTTAACTCTGATCTTAGAAAGCAGTGGGTAGGAATCAGGTTAATTGCATTCCATCGAAAATATGCATACTTGTCTCATCTGTGTATCTAGTTTTTAAAAATAATCTCTCAACTTTCTGAAGAATCACTAAAGTTGCTTTTTCCCTCTTCAAAATTTTAGGCCCATCCAAAATACTTGAGTTGTATTGCAATCAGCTGTTTTTTCTTAGCCGCCAAGACTGTTGAGGAAGACGAGGTAAATATTTTCCTTTAAAGATTAGTTCTCTCTCTTTTTTGAATATTTCTCTCCATTTATTCACTTGCTCTTTGTTTACCAAAAGAAAAATTGAAATGGATTTTTTCCTGTCCTCTTCTCCCTGTCCTATTCCCTTTGCTTTGGATAGAGAATTCCAGTGCTGAAGGTGTTGGCAAGAGACAGTTTCTGTGGATGTTCTTCATCTGAAATTCTGAGGATGGAGAGAATTATTCTGGATAAGCTGAATTGGGACCTTCACACAGCCACACCATTGGATTTTCTTCACATTGTAAATATACCTGAAGTCTTCTGGTTTCTTATTTGAACCTGTAGTCGTATTTCAATAAGAAAAGTAGATTTCCTGCTCATTTGTTTTATTAAGATTTTTACAAAAAGTGAATTTATGCAGTTAGCCAAGGAAAAATTAGAAGTTAGGATATATGTCAAATCACTGATGCTAAAATTTCAAACTTAAAAATTAAACATTAGGTAATACTTGAGGTTTCATCAATTTCTGTACGTAATTTACCTAGACATTTAAGTAAAACTATGATGATGATCTTGTGATTTTTTTTTTTCTAGTTCCATGCCATTGCAGTGTCCACTAGGCCTCAGTTAATTTTCAGTTGGCCCAAACTGAGCCCCTCTCAACATTTGGCAATCCTGACCAAACAACTACTTCACTGTATGGCCTGCAACCAATTTCTGCAATTCAAAGGATCCATGCTTGCTCTGGCCATGGTTAGTTTGGAAATGGAGAAACTCATTCCTGATTGGCTCCCCCTTACAATTGAACTGCTTCAGAAAGCACAGGTAGGTGTCAGTCTAATTAAATAGCATTCATTTTAAGTATATCTCTTACTCTGATAAATAGGGTTACCTGCCAGATGGTTATAAAACAAGAGACATTTCTAATCTTGTAATGGTAAACCATTTTTAAGAGTAGACAAGGGTGAATAAATTTACACTTTAAATTTAAGGGTAGTCTTTTCTTTTTTCTCTTGTACAGTTTATTTAGTATTTTCTTGATTCATTTCACGGCTTCTGGATTACTTAAAATCGTTAAGAATCTTGAAAAATTTAATAAGATTCTCAGTAATATATTCTCCTTTAGTTTTGTAAGAAGAACCTTCCCAGCTGCATTTGTAAATTTTATTATAGTACTTCTATAGTACTTCACTCATTTTATGTCAAATACATTAAATTATAACAGGTTGCTTTTTAAACAAGTACATAATTTAGTGTTGGATAGAAAGTGAAGTATTTATATCAGACTTGGGCAAGTAGAAGCTGTCTTTCTAAGAGGTTTTGTCCTAGTAGTTTCTGTTAATTGTCCGAGATTAGTCCATTACTTATCAGCTGTCTATATAAAATGTAAGGGTTTAGTGGAGGAAATTCTCATACCAATGGAAAGCTAGTAATAGTGCTATATGTTAGCAAGTACTTTGAGAGAATTTTTATTAGTTTTATTCATGTCACCAAATAGAATTTATAAGTTTAGATCTCCCAAACCTTACTCCTTTGCCAACTGAATCCATAAAAGACTTACGAACTTGCTTTCTCCTTATATGTCCCTGTTCTCATTTGGCAGTAGTTATTCTGATTTGTTTTATTGGATTTCATTTAGAGAAAAGGCTGAAATTTTGAACCTAAAATTATTTTTTAATATAAAAAGAACTAGCCCCTGGCTCAGTGCATTGAGCTCCAGCCTGTGAATCAAAGGGTTGCCGTTCAATTCCCAGTCTAGGGCAGATGCCTGGGTTGCAGGCCAGGTCCCCCGGAGGGAGTGTGTGAGAGGCAACCACACATTGATGTTTCTCTCCCTCTTTCTCCCTCCCTTCCCCTTTCTAAAAATAAATAAAATCTTTCAAAAGAAAAAAAACTAATTTTAGCAAAGAGCTGTAGTTATTGAATTAATAAAATGTATAAAAGAATACCATGAAAGAAAAACAAGAGAATAATAATTGAATTTGGTGTTCTGTATAATATGGTTATAACTGGCATTCTTATAGAGTTGAGTTGTAAAAGTTAGTACCGTAGTGCTACCTGTCAGCTTTGAGAATTTCACGCCCTAGGCCCTAGTTTGTGAGCAGAGAAAGGCTGAAAATCTTTTTACAAAAAGGATAATAATCAGAGCAACATATTAACCAGAGTAGCATCCCTCTTTTATGTATTTTGTTCCACTGTTATTATCATGGCTCAGCTTGTTTTATATTCCTGGGACATGTGATGTTAATGTAACAACATATGTTAGATGGAAATAATTGAGAAGTGTTTATTTCCATTGAAATAAATCCTGTAATGAAAATAAATCCTAGGAGATGCTATTTCATGAGAATTTTGAGAAACTATCATAAACTACCATATATACATTAATAGTGTGACACAAAAAATGTATTTTGCCTACCTAGAGTGCTGGAAAAATGTAGTTGAGTATTAACCATTACATTATATTACATTATGTTAACTGTGGAAGTGCGGGCCATTAATAGATAACCGCCTGTATTATATTTTTCACTATTTTATTGGAACAAATGATGTATCTCTAAATGCCACCCGACTTGTTCTCTGTCCCTATTCCCAAACTAGTACACAGAAAACTTGCTATTATGAAGTGTTGCTATAGAGAGAAGACAGACTTTGAAGCATAAATAATAAGAATCCTGTGAATGGCATGTGTATTCTGTAGCATTGAGGGCTTGTTCTCTACATAAGAACACTGGAGAATCTGCTTATTCTCTTTTGTAAGTCGTCTGGTTCTAGAAGAAGTTAGTGCTTGCGGAAACTGTTTACTCCTTTACTGGAGAAGTATTAAAAACTAGAAATTGAAGAAATCTTCTTAAAATCATTTTGTTCAACTCCTTTATTTCATACCTGCAGTCCAGGGAACGTGGAACTTTCTCAGGGACACACGAGACTACTTAATGGTAAAGTAGACAAAATCCAGTGCTTTTTCAATACCACACAAACCTTAAAGATTCTAGTCCAGTGGTTTTCAGAGTTTCTTGTAGAATTGGAACCCTTTCCTCACCCCCAACAAAATCTGTAGACACACAGTTCCAGAATACAAAATAGAAAAGTATTACTTAGTAATAAGTGTTTGGGGCAGACACCTGTTAGGTCCAGAGTCCTACCCAACATTGCCTCTTCCCTTCTGTAAGGTGTTTGGACATAATTTGAAAACCACTGTTCCATTCTTTTATATAATATATAGTTATATTCCGCAAACATTTATTGGGAAATCTATGATCTAGGCACCAGAGATGCAGTGATTCTAAAAGGAAAATTTCTGCCCTGTGTAGTATTCAATTTATAATGGCAGAGATAGTTAACAAGTAAGGTCAGAAAACTTGAGAGACTTTGGGACTTGTTCTTGGCAGTTTTCTAAAACCATCTTGGAATGGTAGCAAATCCCTGTGGTCCAAGCCTGATAGCTTCTGATTCTTCAATACTCAGTTCTGTTTTTGCTAAGTTCACCCCTTTTTAGGCAGGATCACTAGGTCTGAAATCTTTGTGATTATACCTGTGACAAAGCCATAGTAATATCAGGTATTCCTCCTGAATTTCTGATTCTAGTTTAGGAAATTCTTGCATCATATTGGTGAGATCATGCCAGAATTATTTCTGACATGTGTCCCATTGTTCTGGTTTGAGAGTGCTGCCAGTGGTCCGTCAGACATCTCATGCTGTATGTTGGGGCAGCAGGGGAGATCACCGTCACTACCTCTGCCTGTGTTTTCCCTGGACTTCAGAGTGCAGTGAGTGTTCCCTGGTTTGAAAGGCAAACTTTCTGTTGTCCCTACTAGTTCCCACACCCCTGTTGGCTCTTCTGTTACCTGTTGGCTACCAATCTGGGATGGCTAAAGCCTTTTCTCTTCTTGCTTTTCTCTCATTGTTCTAATTTTGTGCCTGTACTCAGTGTCCTCCTTTTTCTGACTGATGTGCCCCTTCCATTTGATCATCTTTGAATGTTAAACTCTACCCAAAATAGTGTGGTGGTCTCCCTTGTTACTAGCCAGGCAGTAGTCAAAGTAGATATTCCCTGCTGTGGTGTAGTTTAAAATTAGAGTAGTGAGTTAAAGAAGTAGACCCCTCCTTCCCAGAGTCTTCCAGTTCTTCCTGAAGGTGCCTACTGTCAGACTATTGTGGTAGGATTTTTTAGTGCTTCATACTGCCCAATAAACCTGGATCCATCCGAACCTATCACTTATGTTATGCTGTTCTGTTCCTTCTCGCAGTAACCTATGTGGATGTCTGCCCTATAAACTTTCACTGTTTAACCTCTAATGTCTTTCTAGCTCTACCATTTTTTGCTCTTCCTCACCTCTAAAATATATCTTAACCTATTGACTTACTTTTTTCACAGAGAAAGATTACAGTGATATAGTCTTCCTTTTACTTGAAATTCTTTTTTTCAGAATTCTGCTGTGGTGGTATGCCTAATGACCAAGACAGTAGACTGTTGGTACTTTTAATTTTCTAGGCTGTTCAGTATCATTTATTTACTAAAGCACAGTTTATTGAACTAGGTACTTAACTTTTTAGAAATAAGTTTTATACTATAGCCTTTTTTTACTTCCCTATTTCTTTTATTCCTGTTGTCTCTTGAAGTACTGGCTTAAGGGTCTGAATTGTCTTAAAGAGCTTTGAAATCCCATCTCTCTTCAGTGTGCTTTGTTCCATTGTTTTCCTGGGTAACATAAAGAATATACAGGGTCCAGCAGAAGTAAGGCCTGCTTGAGTGTGGTTGCTAGGGTAGTAATAAGGATGTAGTAATTTATAGTTTTAATTTGAACATTTCACCTAAAATGTCATATGGTGTGCTTGAGTGTGATATTGTTATGTTAGAGAATTACATGCTTATGATTTTATAATAAAAGATTTGTAATTAAAAAAAGGGGTGGCGTTGTTTGTGCCAGACCCTGTATTTGGAGAGAAATATAGTTTGTGACAAAATGTATTCTTGCAGAGTATGCTGTTTTCCTTTATTTTTTCCTATTTTTATTTGTATTGCAAACAGTCATGCCTGTGTGCTGCAGGTTGTTAAAGGTATGAGTGAGACTTGGTTGATTAAAAATCCCAAAATTCTTATGAAATATACAGGACTGGGAAGTGATCAAGATAGGCTTCCAGGAGGGTGGTAGTAATTAGCCAGACCTGGAAGGTAATAGGTTAGGTAATATAATTTCAACAAGTAGAAACAGGATAAACAAGGGTAAAGTAAGAAAGGGCAAGATTTGTATAGAATAGAGCTGGCCCATTTGGCAGGAATGTAGAGCACAATTTGGGATATACTAGGAAATAAGGCTGGAAAAGAAGATTGGGGCCAGACTGTGGAGAGGTTACTATCAAGCTAACAAGGTTAACTTACTGCTTGTAGGCATTGGGGTGCCACTAAAGAAATTGGAATAGTGGAGAAATATGTGTTGCTAGAGGAACACTGTTTCCACTACAACTATAATTACAAAGAAGGGAGAGCCAAGATTCTAATTAGTCTCTGTAGCAAAAGTAAGATTTTGAAGGCCTTCCATGCTAGAAACTTAAGGGGAAAAAATGAATATGATATAATGCCCACCTCTTGAGATCTTGTAGTCTATAATGGAAAAGCCTTAATGTTTAAATAGCTTATGCTAATGCAGTGTGTGGTTAACTTTGATGACAGGTTGATACAGAAACAGATGGTTCTAGAATTTGGGTGTGTAGGAGGCTGGAGGGAGTCAAGGGTGGTATCAGAAAGGACTGATACTTGATTTGTCCTACAAGATAGAAAGAATTAGTGTATCTCCCAAATTAAACAAAAACATTTCTAGTATTGTCAAGCTATTTTCTACAAAAAATGACTTGTCAAAAATTCTCACTGTTTAACAAAATATTTCAATTATTCTAAAGGTCAGAAAGCCTTTTGCATTTCTTACTTAAATTTTTTCTTGCCTCTGGCTTCTTCCTTAAATTCTTAATGAATTTTATCTTTATATGGGTCTTCATCGAATAGGGTAGAAGAGACAAAGAGGGTAGGGTGAAAGTCCTTCTACTCAGGGGTAATAGACTGAACAAAAACAAATGGATATATAACAGTGAACAAAAGAGAATTGTTTCTGCTTTCATGAAGATATCCAGCATACAGATGTTCAGCAAGTGCAGAATTTAAATTCCAAAGAGATTTATATTCAAAATACAGGTTTGGACATAATTCCTAAAATGATGGGTAGGCTGGAGTAATAAATGAGTTTGAGCTTAGAAGATAGGGGGCAAGGAAAAGGAAGCTGGGGGTGCAGAGGGCACAGGAATGAAAAGTGTCCAGCAAAGATGATAGAGCAGCAGCCTACAATAATGAAATTACCAACTTTTTTTTTTTTTTTTTTTAATCCTTGTCCCAGATGGATAGCTCCCAGTTGATCCATTGCCGGGAGCTTGTGGCACATCACCTTTCTACTCTGCAGTCTTCCCTGCCTCTAAATTCCGTTTACGTCTACCGCCCCCTCAAGCACACCCTGGTGCCCTGTGACAAAGGAGTGTTCCGATTACATTCCTCCTCTGTCCCAGGCCCAGATTTCTCCAAGGACAACAGCAAACCAGAAGTGCCAGTCAGAGGTACAGCAGCCTTCTATCAACATCTCCCAGCTGCCAGTGGGTGCAAGCATACTTCTGCTAAACGCAAAGTAGAGGAAATGGAAGTGGATGACTTCTATGATGGGATCAAACGGCTCTATAATGAAGATAATGCTTCAGAAAATGTGGGTTCTGTGTGTGGCACTGATTTATCAAGGCAAGAGGGGCATGCCTCCCCTTGTCCACCTTTGCAGCCTGTGTCTGTCATGTAGTTTCAGGTGTTACCTTTAAGTGTAGACTGACGTATACTACTCTGGGAACAGGAACATGGAAAACCAGGGCAGGCTATATAAAGGTATATATACCTAATCAGGCTGATTTGAAGTGAGCCAGGAAGAAAAAAAAAAATTATTGTGACTAATTAAAATTCAACATTATTTAAGCACTTAAAGACCCCTAAAAAAAGTATAAAATTGAAAAGATCTGACAGTTTTAAGTAAAAAATTTCTTTGTAGTATTGTCAGTTTCACCCTTTATTCTGCTAAAATGTAATGTAGGTTGCCCCCATGTCAAAAATTTACAGTGGTTTTTTTTTTTCAAAGTTGGCAAAATTCATAGCTAGCAAGCCCTATCCCCAATGTCCTAATTTTCCTCTTGCTTTTTGCTTGCTTTTTTATTGATGCTTAATGAATTTTATGCATGTCAATCTATAGCCTGACTTCCACTGAATAGGAAATCCTCAAAATTATTTTTTAGCAATTTAGGGAACAAATTATTTCAGCTTGACAGCCATGTTTAATCCATGATTCAAATTCAAATTAATCTGAAAAACATACTTCAAAATTGAACTCAGAGGTGGTAATAGAAAAAAGACTCACTTTATTTACCATGTTGATGTTTGTGTGTGTTTCATTTCCATTTCTAGGATTTGGAAACAAAATATTTTTGATTATCTTAAACTGAAGCTTAAAAGTGGCATGTAATTAGGACACTTATATTTGTTAAAATATTTGATATTTGCATTAAAAAATCGTGATAAATATGTCCAGATGCTCACCAAAGAAAAATGTAATAACTAAAATTTAGATTTTTTTTTTTTTTTTGTAACCGATCAACTCTTTCACACTATAATCAGTAGGAGAGACCATTTAGAGTTGGGGCAGCTCTATGATTTGGGTCTGTAACATATAACTAAATTCAGTACCCTAGTTTTATGTTGTTAAGCTATTAGTATTTTCTCGATAAAAGTTACTCTCTCTGCCTCCCAAGCCTACCTATGTTTCTCTTAATGACTTCGGGAATCTGAGCTCCCTGTGCAGTCTGAAGAAGGTATTGCAGTCAGAACCAACCATGTACTGAGATAAAAGCCTCTGGTAGCAATAAACGTTGTCCTTAACCCTGTTGTATCTCTTTTTTTCTCCTTGTGAAGAGGTGTAAGTTCCTGATTGCTTAGGCATTGCTGTCTAAACTGGAAAAAAATTCAATTACTAAGATTATGCTCTACAGGAAATAAAACGAAGGAAATGGGATTTAAATGTGAAGGATGTAGGTTTTTTGACAAAGAATTTTTCTTTTATGTTATTTTTCTCACTGCCAGACTGTAGACCTTCCAAACAGTACATTCTTGTCTTAATGGAAGGCATTTTAGTCTATTAATTTTGTTCCAGTTTAGCAGTGGAAGAGTATTCTCAGGTTAACATTTGATTTTCTTGAAATTCTTATGGTAGGGTTACTACTTACCTACTTAAGACTTTACAGTCCAATCAATCCAAGGGAAAACTTTCACTTGCATGCAAGTAAAAGGAGGGAAGAGGAAAGAATGTGCCTTTTGGGGGTGAAGATAACAAGCAGATGACTTTGCAGGTATACATTAAAATATCCCACTTTTCCTAATTTTTCTCTGGTTCTGTTTCTTAATTCTCCCTACTCATGGGAACTTCAAGAAGTTTACAAGTACATTCACCATTCCTGTAAAGTAAATGGCATTTAAATTCCCCCTATCTCCACTTAACGAGTAAACTTTTTGTTATGTAAAAAGCTAGTGATAAAATTGAGTCTAGATTCAGAATATTTCATTTGCAGTTAAGTAGCTACATTGAACAGAAGTTACAGTGACAGGAAGAATTTAATTACTTGATTTTAAGTTTTCTAATATAAAAAATTGCTAGTACATCAGTTGGGAACTGTATTGTTGGGATAGTATTGTTTTCTATGGGATGATTGGGCTGATAGCTGTTAAGCCTCAAAGCTTATTTAACCCCAGTTCAATGAAATGATAGTACTTTGGAGACCAAATCCTGAGCACTATCCCGTAGACCTGGGCTCCTGGAGAATTTTGGCTCTGAGGGGTCTGAATTAATGGATTGAGACAAAAATCACAATACTCTTGAATAGTGTGGAATTTTCATTAAGAACATTCCTGCTGTTAAATTAGATCCTGTTTTACCTGAAACTACTCATTAACCTATCCCAAGTTACTTAAATCTGGGCATCACATCATAAACTTCTCTTAGAAGAATTGGAAACTTGATCTTTATGGATCATAATTGTCTGGTGCCTCCTGGTGGTGATAAAACTTAACATTTCATGAAGCCTGCACAGAGGCAAGAGAATAAACTTGATGGGCATAAATTACTCTCTCATCCTCTGTTCAACAGAAAAAGTAAAAGTGCGTGCTCTATCTCTTGAAGATGAGCCTAGGAGAGGCTAAAAATGTACTTTACTCTCTGCAAGACTGGAATGAGGTTGGTTTTCTGTGAACTGAACAGATGCCTTAATTTAGTGTGAACGGGGAGGGAAGGGGAAGTGCCCCCAAATGTCAACTATAACTGATTTATCAGAAATGTTCCTGAAACTATGCCTTTGGCTCTGAAGGCAGCTAGAATGAAGCTCTTCACTCGGCCAAGCTGATGTGAGAATCTGAGCCTGTATTCCCACTTTTGAGGGAATTCAGACATTGGTATCTGCCCCCCATTCAAAGAAGTACTATTTCTTCTATGTTATTAGAGCCAACATGCATGTGTGCCCTCTACATACCTGGATTCTCAAGCTAATTTACTTATCCTGAGTTCTTGAGACAGTTGTGCTTGAGCATTACTGCTCAAAGCAGCACAGTGACCTTTTGATTAAGTAATTGATGCTTGGCCAACATGGTGGCAGCTTCTCATCCTTTAGGTAGTTTGTACATTTTCAACTGGAAAGAGAAGATACCATGCCAGGTGTTTTCATAACCATCCTGGGATATGGCATGTCTGGTGTACATGAACAAGTTGAGGGTTAGAGAGTTGTCCAAGGCACATAGCTAAGACTTTTTAACAAGGTTCAAATTCTAACTCATTTCAAATCATTAGCCTTTATATTTGATATCAATAAGTTTTAACATGTTATTTCTAAAGCTTTCAAAATTGAAGTTAGTCTTTAAACCCTGTTAATAGAATGTTCCCTACGCCTGTTACTGTTGAGCTTTGGCCACTAGATGGTGCTTCTAGGAAAATGAAACATCAAGTTTCTGGGAGAAAATGAGTTGTTTGAGCTTACTGTTTGGGAATGAGTAGAGTTGAACACTCATCTCGTTGCTAGGCAATATTCAACATCATTTGCAGTTGCAAGTTCATGTCACTTAAGGCACAAGAGGCCTATACATGTGGGAATGAGGGAAAATGAGCAAAATCTGCCATGGTATGGGGTAGACAGTGGCTAGGTATGTCTCATACCAAAAGAAAGACGTTATACCAATTAAAACCTCAATGATTTCAGTCTGAGTTGGATTTGACCAATCATTAGATCAGAAAAGATGGAAGTGCAGTTTTGTAGCACAGCTTCCATCATGCAATTAAAAGCTTTCCCTCACTATGTTTAGTGGTTTTTATGACATACTAATATGTAAGATCTAGGTGTAGGACAGAGAAATTAACAGCTCTCGATTATTGAAAAAGGTGAAGGAAGAGGTAACCAAGAATGACTTTACCAGATACAGAAATTTAATAAGAGCTCACAACTCTAGTTTTTTAGTTCCCAAGAACTTCTAAGAATGAAATGAGAACTCCCTTTCTCTTGGCTCTTCAAGTACAACCTTCAGAGCAGTTAAAATGCCAGAATTGTTGACGTTACTGTGTTACACAGCAGTGGGGGAGTACAAAAGCATAGGCCTAGTGAACCGGTTTCCCATTTCTCAGAAACAGTTGATTGGGCAAGAGGATACTGCAGAATGAAGGGCAACCACTGAAAAGAAATGAGGGAGGGGTGCTTTTGCTCTTAAGACTACAATCTACCCAGCAATTCAGCATAGAAAGGGCTTGGTTTTGTACTCCAGAAGTTTGCTTATGAAATATAGAAAAGTGCAATTCATAGTTCCTGACTATCTCCAACATGTAATGTAGGCCTGGCACAGTATATAGAAAAATGGTAAGAGGGAGGGTGTGGGAAAGGTGGATAGATGGATGTGAATAAAGGGCAAGGAGAGCTAGAACTACAGTTCCAAAGGTCTAAAGGCATTGTGCAAAGAATGTGTGGTTGAGCCAAGCTCTTTGTAGGATGTTATTCTGCATGTTTCCCCCATACACACTATTTTGTGGAACAGGGACCAAACTATTATATAATAGCCTCTAGCCTCCTCTGATCTACCAAGGTGCTGTAATTTTGAAGGGAAAATTTTCACAATGAACTGGAAGAATATTCAATTTACAGCACAGCAAGTGTGTAACTGATTTTGAGCCAGATGTGAAATCATTTGTGCCTCATCTGGATGTACTGACAAGTAAAAGACCTCATATACAGCTACTTGTTAGAATGGGAGGGGAATGGATACCTAGACTCATAATTAGTCTTCAAATTAACACATTCTATCCCTTCACCAGCCAAAGGTCCCAGTGCCTGCTAGAGATTGTTCTCAAAGTCAGATGGTACCAACCACATGAACTAAATACCGTGGTCTCGAAAAGAATTCAAGTACAAGGATATTCAAAGCGAGCCACACCCCGCTGCAGTCTCCAAGGTGGAAAGATGACAGTCATCTGCAAAGCTCAAAGTTTTTGTGTAGAAATGTCGTTTTTCAGATATTGAAACTGTTTACCCATAAATTGGGCCAACAGTGTAGGGGAGGGGACCTCAAATAATCAAGAAGGAAATTTCACTTAATAGGTACAGTTGATGGGGAAAAGTTTGGCCAACCATATTAGGAAAATGAGCTAATTTTATTTGCCTCACCTCAGCACATACTGATTCAGAAAATCAGATCCCTTTTATACGAGTATTGTGGCCGTCTCAAGGAGACCATCTAGACTACACGTGTAGCAATAAGGTGGAGTGTCTATCTGAAATCAAGTAATATTTTTTAAGAGATTGAGTGGAAAATGAAAAGCCTATTGCCTGATACCAATGGAAATAGGTTCAGGTGGCTCAATTATCCTTACTTTACTTTTCCACAGCCTACATTCGGATAAGTGATTACTTATTGATGATGATGATTAGTCCTGGATGGTTTTGGAACCTGAAAACCTACCAGTTATTAGCACTTGAGAAAAGGAACCTGTTGAAGTAAAATGCCAAATCAACAGAGACGGCAATGACTTTGACCAGTGGTGTGTCCGTGATCAGCTTTCCCTAGGTAACTAAACAGGCCAACTTAGTTACTAGAGCTTGCTCCCCCACTCTCATTAAGATTATTACTGTTATACTTCCTTTAACCTGGAGACTAAAAAGGGAATAGGAACAATAGACATTTCTCTATTTAAAATAATCCTAATTTGACTTTTAAATATTGTTCAAAAAATGTCTACAACCTGATGCAGAATTTGTTTTTAAAATGGGTTCTTGGGTAAAGCTATTAAAATGTTTAAAATAAGGAACAATTTTTGTACTTAGTAGTTACAGTGGTTTCACACACAATAGTTTTAATATGTAAGTGGTATGTTAATTTGTCATGTTCTGGCATCAGTTAAGGAGCGGGTACCCACCCATCCACACCCTCCAACCAGTGCACTGGCAGATTTCTATCCTTTACAGATTATACTGGAGAGGATGACTCTTTACCCATAATTTCATCATTTAATCTAAGGAAAGAAAGCCTCTTGCCAGCATGCTCATCTGGTTGCTTTAAATTTTCCAAGAATTAAATGATTCAAGAGGCAGGGACTGTTCCTTCATTTCACCTTTCCACAGAAGCCTATGTTACCATCCTTAGAGGGAACACTCCAAACGATCTTCATCACATGCAGCTCATGCCACCAAGAGTGTTTTTGTTCTCTACTTAATATATTTCAGGGACTGAAAAAAAGGATGGAAACAAGCAGACTGTAGACAATATTAAAAGGTAACTTCAAATGTATGTTTGTGCTCTAAAATAGAAATAAATTTCAAAATTGTCCCTTGACTGTAAAAACTGCCCCTAAAAGGTGACTGCTAACAAAGTAATCTAGACTATCACAAGTGGGTTAGCATTGGAAATCAGACTCAACTGGCAGAGCGAGAGCTGTGTGTGTGTATATATGGGTATATGTTAAGTAAGTCCCTGCAGATTTTTTTTTTTTTTTAACAGACATAGCCACCTGGGTAATTCTGAGAAGACAGTGTAGGTCAGAGCCCCTGTTAATGACGCTGTTGTCTGGGACAGGGTAGATACTTGTTCAGGGTTCATTTCCCATGGTCCAAAACACAACTCTAGACACAAGGCAAAGCAGAGCTTCACAATAAATAAAAAGGCAGGGATGGACCAGAAAGTTATTTCAAGGTACCTTTAAATATAAATTGAATCCCAGAGGCAGAAAAGTCATCTACCCAGTACTGGCACATTTTAAACATGATTAAGATTTGTGAGTCAAAACCTCAGTTAACAGTAAAGGTGTTTTTTGTTGATGTGTCTTGAGATGAGGACACTTTAAACAGAATTCTTGAGTTTACTCAAATTTTGCCTTGAGCTTAAAACTGGCTTAATTTTGATACCAAAACTAAATTTTAATAACCAATACATAAACAGAATTGGCTAACTGGAAGCACCCCCCCCCCCCAAAAAAAAAGAGCAGAATCCCAAACCCAAAACAACTTATGTGAGGGATGCAGGTAACAGAAAGAGCCATAAAACAACAGTGGTTCCTGAATTTAAAGGAAGGATGCCCACTTCTCTCTCTCAAGAGGCAGATGGTCAGCTGAAAAATAAAAACATTGTATCAATAGAACATGTCAAAAAAAAAAAAAAATGCAGCCATCTCTGTTCATGCAATACCAAAATATTTTTAAAAAAGACCCCAAACTCCAAAACAACCCATAAAACTAACAAAAGGAAGGAAAATGTTGCCCAGATTTTATGACCTGATTGATGGTTGCGGGTCCTGATGGGGTGGTTCAGAATGTCATTCATGGGGCAGAGAGGTCTGGAGTTAACATGAGATCAAGTGTGTGAACCCTGAAGGTGGTCGCCACCTCCAGTTAGGGCACATGCTGTCTTCAGTCTGTGAGCTCTTGGATAGCAGCTTCAAGAACATGACAGCTAAGCAAGAGGATTCCAACACATGGCTACCTTGGGTCTTGGCCCCAGTTCTCTGTTTCACTCAATTTCCTTTTTAGTGTAACTGTTTTTGGTAGTAACAAGTCACTTTAGTAACCACTGTGGGCAGTGGTTTGTAAACAGACATTGACAAATACAAACAGCAGTGAAATATTTGAGCCAGACTTTAAAAGAAAAGGAGGCGATGGTGGAAATGAGGTAACTCTTCCCCAACACGTGTGAACAGACAGCTCCTGCTCTTCTAATGCTCTATGTCCATTAGGAGAGAGTAGGGCTTGTCAACAGGATGGTTACATAAAGAAGAAGCTACAGAAGAGAAAAAAGAAAGGTTCAGATTCAATTTAATTCTCCAAGGCTTAAAATACAGAGCTTCTGTCTAACGAACTGTGAAAGAACAGCAGCGTGTCAGTTAAAGGGATGACTTCCTCTGAGCATGGGTTTGAGCAGCAGCAGCAGCAGCAGCAGCGCTGGCAGCAAAGGTAGGGGAAGAAGAGGAGGACTCAGCTGGGCCTAGGGGCAGTGGGACACCAGGGTCACTAATCAGGACAGAAGGGGATGGGAATGGGGGAGAAGGGTGGCGGAGATGGTATATGAAGTACAGGACACCAGAGGAGAAATTGGTGCAGCCCAAATGGTAGCATTTGAAGTCCACCAGACAAGGCAAGAAAGCATGAGACTCTTCCCTATTTTTTTTTTATCCAATATAATTAGCATGGGTACATATGCATATCAAACAGTGACTAAAAGAACTCACAAAAGGGCACACAATGTTTGGGTAAAAATATATTTTCCCCCACTTATGTCTTGGCACTAGTGAATTATGCATAGGTTACCTGTCCACCACTCTCCTACCTTAACAGACACCAAATTAGTGAGCATGTTTGCTAAGTGACACTTTCATACTTGAAAAAAATGATATGCTTCACATCAATACAATTATTTTAGTTTTTTAAAAAAAGACAAGTCTAACATGCAGTTTACATATATGACAATTTTGCATTAACACAAAGTAGATTACACAACAGTTTTAGAAACACATTGGTTATTTTCAAACAGCAAAATGACAATGATCTACAACTACAGTTTAAGGCATATCAGCATATTTTAAAATTAAGAAATAGACAAAGTTCTAATGCTGTTCACAGCTTAATTTTCAATTTATTAAAAAATTCCCTTCATACCTACATACAATCTAGACTTTGTAGGTCATAATTTCCACTAAAGAGTCATCACATATGTATTCCGTCAATGGAACCAAGACTTGACAATTTCAAACACTTGCGAATGGGAAAGCGAAGGGGTCTGAATGGACAGTTTTGGTAGGACCACACAGAGACAGTAGGACATGGGTTGGTAACAGCTGAAAAACCTGATTAAACAGTTTGTATGTGAGACACTTACGGATATGTCAAGAAAGTGAGGAAACCAAGTCGATTTGTTTGAGGTGCACAAGATAGGAAGAATAAGTTAATTTTTATTGCTGGTGAGATTACAAAGCAGAGAAGGAAGGTAAGTAACCTGTGCCCAGCTTTATGTCAAATGTTCCCCTGGTTGAGATGCCCTTTCTGGACAAAACCTTGACCCATTCATAAAGAGCTCGAGCTGGAAAATGTAATCTCTGAACTTCTAATAAATTATCATAAATGTTTCTCCATCACATCCTTCTGCACGTACAACTGTTACACACATTTTAAGTCCAGGAGAAGCAAAAAGTTGGCCACAATGGTTGAACAAAAGATGTGAGGAGAGGCCAATTAGAGCTGTCTGGCCTTAAAAAAAGAGGGGATCACTGCCAGCAGTTAGCACAAGGCCAAGGCCACTAAAGCAAGATGACAAAAAATGAAGCATTCACAGTGGCAGCCTAACATCAACATTTTTTCCTCTTGATTTTCTTCAGTGGCAGGTAGTAGTTTCTCATTCTAGCTTTATTTACATAGTCAGAACCAAGGAGCCTCTGTAACATCCAGTGACACCCAACAATACTGTGTTTAACACAGACTGGGACTAGTCATTTCTGACTTCCACATTGGTATCAAGGAAATACTGAATTTATGTTTCTTGTGAAAAGGATATAAATGTATAAATGTGGCCATTTTAAATATATTTAGTTTTTCTCTTTAAACCAAAAGCTACTCAAACCATTACCTCCCTGCCCCACTCAAAAAAAAAAAAAAAAATCCATCTATCCCATATGTTTCTCTAATTTTAAAGTCAGAAAAATCTCAAAGGTTTCTTACTACCGTACTTACATGCAAAGGCGAAAGCACATCCAATTAGATTTGAGGGTATCATTTATTCCGTGCAGAGCCAAGGACTACTGTGAAAAAAGGCACAGAGACAGAAGAAAGAAGAGAAGGACAGCAATAACAAACTAAACAGGGCCAGGAGCAGGGGGAGAAAAAAGTTCAGAAGCAACGCATTACAATAGAAAGCTCTGTAGTCTATTTCTTTTGACTTTTTACTCCCTGATTCTCCGTATGATTTTTTTACTGTGAAGTTTAATGGAAAAAGATGAATTGGTAATCTTGGAATCAAAGTCAGCTGGATGCCTTTCACAGCTAGGCTCACTTTAAAGAGGTTTTAGTGATACCTTAAAAGTGATTTTAAATTGATGCATTTTTAGAATTTAGATGTGTATTTTCTATTACAAAGCACAAAAATGCTCACACAAGCAGCGGTTGGAACAAGCACACAACACAAGTACTCAAGCTTTTGTGTGGTGCAAGCATATGAGCAAACTCAGCCCACGGTTAGAACCAGCATGCCATCTAATATTTGGCTGCTCCACAGCTAGCATCGCACTAGGATCATTAAAAAGACGAAAGGAAAAATAAAAACCTTGGCCCAGTTCCTGTCAAATGTGTCTCTATACCACTGTTGCTGCTCCTAGTTTGCAGTTTCTGACCCAGCTTAGTTTTGGCTTTTATGAAACTGATTTCTTACTTTACCCAATTAAACCTAAATCAGTTCATGGAAGACCATTCCTTCTTTGTCCTAAGAGTAAGTTTGAGGACCGAGAGAAGGAAAAAATATTTTTATTGGAATCGACTAAAGACTTAATTAAAAAAAAAAAAAAAGGGTGTGTGTCAAGGGAGGGACAATGTATTCTATCCTATTTACTTTATCCTATTTACTTTATGTAGGAGTAAAATACGTCCAGAAGGAAACTGTAGAACTAAATAAAGTGTCAGGTTGATGAAAAGTGTTATTCTTTCAAGTAAGAAATGGGAGACTATAGAGGTAAAGGGAAAACGAGGAGGATCTTTTTATTAGAGGGGGGAAATCAAGATGAAAGGATAAGCCTTACAAAGGAACAGGAGAAAAAAGAGATGACATGTGCCCTTTTCCATACAAATTTGGGGTGATGGGCCATGGACATAAAGAGGAGGTAAGCTGGTTGTACGGAGAAAGGTGACGAAATTCCTTCCCAACAACTGGATTTGAAAGACCAGCTGTTCTATTATTATTTTTTTTTTTTTTTTTTTTTGCCAAATATCGAAAGGACGCTGCAAGGAAGCTGGATGTGAAGTTGAATTTCTCCTTTCTTTGACATGGGTTTGTGTTACGTTCCTTCCCACTTCTACCTGAAATTGACAAAGTCCCCTCAAATTTGCACTACAGATGATACACAATTTACAACACAGTTTTTGAAGGATTCCTGAAAATTTTATTCTCGTGATTATTGAAGAGTGTTATCGGAAGTACCAATATCCTGGCATCAGTCATTGGGTCCTCCCTCTCAGCCCACCAGGAGTGAACTTTGGTGTGTTGGTAAAAGCTTGCTAATTGTAAGTAGTAAGTAGTTTGGAAAGCCCATCATCCTTCCTAGAATTCTCTACTAAGCAATGTTGTATTACCTAACTTTCGAGACTGCTGATTATGAAACTGACTGTTCGCATTTATCAGTGCAACCTCGATCCTCTCACAGGTATCATAGTTTCATTACAGTTCAACTTGGCCAGAATTTGAGAGAGAGGGGTTCAGACACATTTTTAAAGCCATAAGCAGAGAGTCAGTCTGAACAGACTCACAACTCAGACCAAATAATGTTATTATAATAATGAGCAATCCATGCAAGTTTAAAAGTCATATGAAGCTTACCCACTTGTCTGCCTACGTGCAAAACTATCTTGGGTTTGGGGTAGGTAAGGAGAAGAAACAGAGTGAGTTCAGGACTTTTGCCATCATGGAGATGAATAATTAAGAAAAATAAGTTGTCATGGCTGTTCAGGTTTATAGTTCAGCTGCTGAGGTGGTGAGTTTTCCTGTCAGACGTACATGTAGCAATTTACCCTCCTTCCCTCAGTCCAAAGCAACATACAAGTAACAGGCATGCTTCCTGCTGCCACTCAGAACAGGCATGAAAGGCAAATCATTTACTTCCCAGAAACAAAGTTCAGCTGCATAGAGCTTTTGCTGTTATTCCCTTGTTATTGGTGTCTGGGGAAAGGTAAAAAAAAAAAAAAAAAAAAAAAAGGACACAGATGGCAGAGATACAATATTACTGCAAAAGCAGGTGAATGCGGGACCATCCTTGGCTTGCCAGGCTTTATGTGAAGCTTGCACTGCAAGTTAAAAAACAAAACAAAAAAGTTAGAAATAATAATAAATAAAAAAAGAAAGGAAAATTAGGAGCGCCAGCACCAGCATTCGGTGATGGTGAATGCTCATGCAATGATTATGGAATTGACAGAAATTAAAACCAAAAACTTGAGTAAGCTATTCTACTTGACAAGCAAAAGCAACATTTTAATATTGAATTAAAGAACACGTGGTTAGTTTCCATTTGCACATCATTTCGAATTCACAAGTGACTTCTTGAAACTACTACATGTTCTAGTGGAAAGGATTTACTGTTTGATTTTTTCATTTTCTCCAATAACCAAACCATTATTGATTAGTTAGATTTGGGCATCACATCTGTATTGAATAGGAATTGCATCTTCCATTTCTGAGCTGCTGGAATAAGAATAAGTATGCCATAAATGACTTTGAACAATTAACTTGGGGGTTGGAATTCGGTGGACGGAGGACATGCTATTAATCTACTAGGGAAGAAAACAAAGGGACAATCATCCCGCGGTCACAGCTACAGCGCTGCTAGGAGCCGTCCCCTCTTTCAGGTTCAGAGCAGTGCCAATCCCAGATCCGCACATCTAACTAGGCAAGTCCAAAACATGCAACTTCACTCCTTCTCAAGAATCAATTAAAAACAACAAAAAAGATGAGTGGATGATTGTTTAAACTCTAGTTACCAGATGCCATGTACAATTTTAAAAGGATGGATTTTAAAACTCTCTTTTGGGATGAATGTATCTTAACCAGCAAATGACAGCTGGCAACGGTGCAAAGTTTTCAGAAAAAATGAACACTATCCACCAAACAACTTACCCACGGGCAGTCCCACCACTGTGGTGTAGCCGCAAACAAGGAAAGTGACTTGGTGGCCAGAGATGGCAGGAGGTGGGGTCCAGCTAATGGCAGTGCCAGGGTTAGTTCTACTTTGTCTGTAATCTTAGGAAATGTTATATGATCTCATGCCACTACAGGTCAAGGAGAAGTATAAAGCCTTACCTATGTTAAAAAGGGAGCATGTCATTAAAATAGAAAACACAGAATTCAGAACTATTAGAAAAACTAAGTTAGGCTCTGAGGTGGAAACATAGCCGGTGGATAAATAAGCATCTCTTTTTGTGTTTTCTCCCTAGAACAAAGCCAGCTCCTAAGTGGCATGTATGGTGACTCCAGCGTCTCCTGAGGAGGAAGGACTCTCCCGTTTATTTTCAAAGTGCTGCCTGGTTACCCTGGTTACTGTCTTTCTGTGGTCCTCTCTAACCAAAACTCTCCACTGGCAGGAAGAGGAGTGGTGCTTTTTTGTTTTTTTTTTTTCTTTTGTCTTATTTTACTTTTACACTTCAGGACTCCAACTGGCAGTTGATTTTACTGTTCAAATGGTAAAATGTGGAAAAGAACTTAGAAGTTACTAAAAAATACATGCCATTGCCAGGCACAAAACCTGGTGACTATTGTACACCGAATTAAGTCTAATTCTATTAATAAATGAGAACATATAAATAAGGTTAAAATAGAACTCACACATACTTCACATAACTTGAAAAGCATTATATATTGCTAAGGTCCAAGGTCAGGAAGAAAATAACCCAAAATGTTCAACTGGGCAAGGAAACACCTCTCTACACTGGCAACTCTGTTACTAGATACATTTTGTCAATGGAGGCACACTGCTGATCAGCTCTTGGCATTTTTATTGCTTAAAGGCACATCCAGTATAAATGAAATATCCTTAGAACATTGCTGGTCTTTTATAAACATTTTTAGTTCTAAAATATACCTTTATGTATGTTAGTGCTTCAGGATAAGAAAAACTTACGTTGGGCTTCCTAAGCTGTGAGCCAGCAGCTTTTTCTGTTTCATTCATGCCACAGATGTGTACACACACACACACACACACACACGCACGCACGCACCCCCATACCTATTTTTATCTTGGGTTAGTTTGGATCAACAAGGGTAAGATGCCAGATGGCTTTAAGTTTGTCTTCGCTGCAAGAGGTGCTGCACCCTCTGAATCCCTGCATGGGGAATGTCACCATGAGTGACCGACGCTCTTCCAATGTGGTAGCTACAAAGTGGTTCCTTGAACTGGATTATAAACTAAGCAATTGTTACTCTCAGAACTTACTAGCGCAACTAAATTTTCAGCACTTGGAGTCTTTTCATCACTTGGCTCTGTAGCAACCCCATTAAAACGACACCTCACCTATACCAACTACTTTCTATTGCTTAGAAAACATGCCTGCTCCTTGGCTCTCTTGACATACTTTCTGCTGTCTCAGAGCTTGTAAAGTTTGTAAAGTGTAATTTAAAACTCTCCGTGTGTCACCATAGCCATGCACTTTGATTCCTAACACAGGCAGTGTAACCAGATTCCTCAAGGGCAAGCCTGCTTGTTCACCAAGACTAAGTGAACAATCCTGACGATGGGTCTCAATTACTGTAGAGACTCAACCCTATCTTCTACACATATTTTTTTACACCTGCCTTTGCCTGCTTGAGTACCAACATTTTTATTGTTTACTTTTGTCAGCTTTTCCCCTAGAATGTTAAAACCTCAGACAAAGAGCAGGGAGCCCGGCACATTCTGAGTTGCCGTACTGCCTGGAGCCCTGCCCAGACCAAGGAGGGCAGCGTCTGCAGGCTCGCCGTCCGGCCGCACACAGCTTTCCTCAAGGTACCTTACTAATCACTGTGCTTCCTGTCAATGGCAAATGTTATAAAACTGCACTCTCTAGTCTTTAAGGTGATTGACATACAGCTTCAAATCACCAGGGAAGGTCAAGGAAGGCCCAAAATCTCCCACTGGAATCAAGCAGCTGTCATCGGAGTATCACAGGGAATGGCCAACACAAGAACAGATTTTGACCCTTTGGCACATTAAATCAAAGCCATATTTAAACATGTTTTTTGTGTGTTGTTATAGGTGTGTCTTGAGGGTTGTTGGGGGTCTTGTAATTGGATGGGACTGTGACCCCATTTTCACAATAAAACAGTTCATCATCTTGCTGAATTTAGAGGAAAACTAGTAGCCACTAGCAGTTCTTCCAAATCTTTCATCTGGGGAACAACAACTGGTTTATCAAGCCTTACAATGCAGAATAGAAAAATAATTTTAACAATCATAATTTTAGGGCGCTCTTTACCGGGAGTCATGAGGATTGCCTCCAGATAGTAGTGCAGAGAAATAAACCATCTTCCCAGAAGTCAGTGTTGGTGCAGAAGATGCTACTGGAGACAAAAGGTTACTCCAGTCCTGACTGCTTGACCACGTGGTCAAGTTTTATAAATTAATGTTTGTGTACCCTTTAGAAATACTTTAAAAACCTTTTATCGTCTTCCCTGCGCTGTAGAGAAAATACTTGCTTTTATCTTTCTGGTAATAGACCGGTTTCCAGTCTGCAAATGGGAAAAGTAGAGACATGCAAGAGGAACAAATTGTTAGAGGCCCCAGTACAGGGGGTGACACCTGCTTACTTTTTCTTATCTTTGTCTTTCTTGGTTTGCTGAGCCCCAGACTGCTGGGCCTGGGTCTGTAGTAACTGAGCTGCTGCTTTCTTCTTCTGGAAATTGTTCACCTCCTCCTCCAGCTCCTTCTTCTTGTCTTCCACTTTCTTCTTCTCTTCTTGGTGTGTCCGCTTTAGGAGGTCAAACTTCTCATGGAGCTGGAGAGAAAAAAAAGAGGACAAGCATGGTGAATGAAAAGTTTATTAGTATAAGGTTATTTGGAGCTGTTCAAAACCACACCTGCATTATGGTGCTGCACGTGCTTTAACTGCAGGAATGAGCAGCGCCTGGTGCTCCAGGAAGAGTTAAGCTGAGGTGGGAAAAGCATCCCTTGGAGCCCTATTCTCTTTGATACCTGGACCCCATGGAGCTAAAGAGAATCCCTGCATGCCTTTTCTTTCTTTATTTATTTACTTATTTAATTTTTAGAGAGAGGGGAGGGAGGGAGAGAAACATCAACATGTGACGTTGCCTCTTGGACATCCCAACTGGGGACCTAGCCTGCAGCCCAGGTAAGGGCTCTGCTGGGGAATCGAACCAGCAACCTTTTGGTTCATAGGTCAACCCTCAATCCAATGAGCCACACCAGCCAGAGAGGGAATCCTTGCACATCTTTTCTGAAAATAAAATACATTTCATTGTAAAAAGCATAAAAAAGAAAATAAAAATTATCCATGCTTTTAAAAAGAAATTTACCCCAGTGCTAAGAGTTCTTTATGTAATGCATAGTATGCATTTATTTAGAGACATATACAGACGAATATGTTGAGAAATTTCTGGCCCTCAACAAATTGAATTTCAAGTATTATCACAATGCAGAAACAGAAATTAGAAGGAAGGGAGTAACAAAAATATTCTTACTAAGTAATTCTAGATTTTTACCCAGCATCCACTTAGTACTTAAAGCCAAGGGCAAATAAAGCTCAATTTTCCTTTCTCTGCAACAAAACTGTGTTGATCGCTTTCTATTTAAATTACCTCTAACTTTCATTCATCTTTATGAAGATAAATTAAAAAGGGATGGTGAGAAAATTATTTAGACAATTTCATTTGTAAATACATTGAGCTATAGGCCAAGCACTCGCAATATTCATTATGATCAGAGGCGAACCTATTACACGCACTCTCTCTCAATGGGATGAATGTTACAGCAGAAATCCATGTGAACTTCTAGGAAGCAGTTAATTTGGCCTGGCCTTTGGGAATGAGATGGAATCAAAGGGATACTGGATTAGAGCACGCAGACCGACAAGGAGGGAACATGAGCACAGCCGCGGCATACAGAGACCATCACCTGTCAGTGCTGAAGGGCCACCCACTGTTTAGCTCTCTGAGTCACTTGGCTGATAGACTAACATACTAATAATAGTTCCAGAACCTCAAATCTCATATGTCAGATTCACATACTGAGGAAATTCAGAGGTACAAAGAAAATGGGACCAGGTCCGGAGACCTAAGATCTTGTTTTAGTTTCACTTTTGCTGCTACCTAGGTATATATTGCATAAACTGCTTCACCTTTGTGACTCTCAGTTTTATCATCTGTAAAAGGGGGGATAAGAATATCTGACCTGCTTTTCTTGCCAGACTAGTATGCCATGCATTTGATAAAATGTATGTAGAAGGTACTTAGAACAGCATGAAGTCTCATAAAAGGTGAAATATTAATAAAACACCTTGCTTATTTCTCTCCCTAGATAAAGGACAGATAAGATGGCCTACCTCTTTCTCTGCCTCTTTAAGTTCAGCTTCTTTCTCCTTCACTCTCATAACAAACATTTGTCTCATTTCTTCTTCTTTCTTCTGAAGTTCTCCCAGAAATTCGTTCCTTTTTGCTTCATATGTCTCCTGAAGGCTATTCAAAGATCACAGAGAAGGACGAGTGTCATTGAAACTGCATATGAAATTTCGGTTCAAAGACTTTCTACCTACTCTTTACCAAAAAATAGATACGGCTGCCACTTACCACATTAAAGACACATAAAATGGCACCATCTTCTTGTTAGTTACGTGGTGATCAAAAAGACAAGTGCATCAAGAGCCAGAGAGGAATCAATAAGCACAGTGCAGCACTAACGGGCTGTCTCTTACTGGCCACGTCTTATTCTACACATATTCACACAGGGAAGAGCCTGGGCTGAGCTCGCTGGTATCGTCCAGATGAGCACATGGGGTAGACATCAAAGATATGATTAAGAATTTAGAGGATGGAGGTAGTATAGTGTGGGGTGAGAAATGTAGAGGTACTAGAGCCAGGAAGATCAAGGTTTGGATTCTGGGCACAATGACGTATTGACTGATCTGGATGAGGGCACAGCCTATAATCCTCAATGCTTCCTGTGTAAGATGTGGATAAAACAGCACTCACCTCCCAGGGATATGATTATGGGAATTAAATGGGGCAAAGTGTCCGAAGCATTCAGTACTTAACAAGTATTGCCCTCTCCCCACTCTCTCCCTCCAGTCTCCAGTTTAGAAAAATAGACTCAATGAACCATCCAAAGACACCATTGTATATCTAAAGATATTACACAACATTGCTACTTTTAACGTATTACCACTTATAAATAGAGCAGGGAGCGGTTTTATTTTCATTTTAAACCCTATTCTCCTCCTGACTGTCTAAAGAATTTAGAGTCCAATATTTTACATTGAATGCCACAACTCAGCTTTATCTCTAAATCAGAACAAACATATTTACAGAAATATCACCTTTGGTAACACAACTTAAGAAAACACACACCCATGCCCATATGGACGGAAACAATTGCTGACATTTTTATAAGGTGCTATTGCTATTTCTCCCTTGCAGTTCCCCTAAAACAAGAGTTGTTCCAGTAACACAAGCCTGTCGGATTATCCGCCTTTATCAATGGGCCAAATTCATCCAAAGTGCTGACTCCAAACTGGATAGCACCTCTGGATGACCCCAGGCACTGTAAACAGCCACCCCCAGCATTCACACTTGGCCTTTAGAGAAAAAAAAAAAGGGACATTCAGGTGGTGGGAGTGCCCGTGCATACAGACATACAAAAAACTAAACAATTAGAAAATGTCTTAATTAGGACTGTTTCTACTTCTACAATTAATGCTTTTATTGGCTGATTAGAAGTAAGTTGTCCTGCTCTCAAGAGTATCAACACTGAGACTCCCGGCCAAGATGGAGGTGTAGGTAGATACACTTTGCCTCCTCACACAACCAAAAGAACAACAACAAATTTAAAAACAAAAAATAACCAGAATTGCAAGAAAATTGAACTGTATGGAATTCTGACAACCACGAAGTTAAAGAAGAAACATTCATCCAGGCTGGTGGGAGGGGTGGAGACAGGCAGCTCGGGCAGAAAGGACAGGTGGCAAGGTGGCGGCTGGAGCACTGGGCCAGCGAGGCAGAAGCTGGTGGACCGGGCAGTCCTACATCTGCCTGCAGATAAACTAGGAGGAACAACTGTGGAGCAATAAAGACCACTCAACCCAGGATTCCAGCACGGGAAAATAAAGCCTCAAAACCTCTGGCTGTAAAAACCTATAGGGATTGCAGCAGTAGGAGAAACTCCCAGCCTCAGAGAAGAGTTTATGGGGTCCTAGAACGTACACAAGCTCACCCCTCTAGGAATCAGTACCAGAAAGGCCCAATTTGCCAGTAGGTAGCAAGGAAAGTGACTGAAAGCTGGAGGAGAGCCAAGCAAGTGGCACTGTTCCCTCTCTGACCCCTCCCCTCGACCCCCACAGACAGTGCCACAACACAGGGATGGGGGTTGCCCCACCCCGGCAAGTACCTAGGGCTCCACCCCTTCCAACGTAACAGGCATGCTGAGACAAAGAAATATGGCCCAAATGAAAGAACAGATCAAAGCTCCAGAAAAAATACAACTAAGAGGTGAAGAGATAGCTAATCTATCAGGGGCACAGTTCAAAACACTGGTAATCATGATGCTCACAGAAATGGCTGAGTATGGTTGCAAAATAGAAGAAAAAGTGAAGGCTATGCAAAGTGAAATACAGAAAAATATACAGGGAACCAACAGTGAAGGGAAGGAAACCAGGACTCAAATGAATGATATGGAGCAAAAGGAAGAAATAAACATTCAACCAGAACAGAATGAAGGAACAAGAATTCAAAAAAATGAGGAGAGGCTTAGGAACCTCCGGGACAACTTTAAACATTCCATCTGAATCATGGGGACGCCAGAAGGAGAAGAGGAAGAGGAAGAAATTGAAAACTTATTTGAAAATATAATGAAGGAGAACTTCCTCAACCTGGTGAAGGAAATAGACTTCCAGGAAGTCCAGGAAGCTCAGAGAGTCCCAAAGAAGAAGGACCCAAGGAAGTACACACCAAGACACATCATAATTACATTATCCAAGATTAAAGATAAGGAGGGAATCTTAAAAGCAGCAAGAGGAAAGGAGACAGTTACCTACAAAGGAGTTCCCAGAAGCCTACCAGCTGATTTCTCAAAAGAAACCTTGCAGGCAAGAAGGGTTTGGAAAGAAGTATTCGAAGTCATGAAAGGCAAGGACTTATATCTGAGATTACTCTATCCAGCAAAGCTATCACTTAGAATGGAAGGACAGATAAAGTGCTTCCCAGATATAGTAAAGTTAAAGGAGTTCATCATCACCACACCCTTATACGAAATGTTAAAGGGACTTAACTAAGAAAAAGAAGATCAAAACTATGAACAGAGAAATCACAACAAACTCAAAAAGTATCAACAACTGAGAACCTAAAAAACAAAAAACAAACAGCAAAGAACTAAAACAGGAACAGAATCACAGTAATGGAGATCACAAGTAGGGTTATCAGCAGGAATGGGGAAGGGGGAGAATGGGAGAAAGAGTACAGGAGAATAAGAAGCATAAAGAAACATAAATGGTAGGTACAAAATACACAGGGGGAGGTTAAGAAGAGTACAGGAAACAGAGAAGCCAAAGAATTTATATGTACGACCCATGGACATGAACTAAGGGGGGAATGCTGGTGGGAGTTGGGGAGAAGGGTGGAGAGGAATAGAGGGGAGAAAAATAAATGGGACAACGGTCATAGCATAATCATTAAACTATAGTAAAAGAGAAGAAAAAAAGGAGTGTCAACACTATCTGTTAATGAAGAATCCTGTGTTTTGAGTTTCCAGAGGTATATTTAGCTTTCACATTATTTTATGAGACTAAAACAAGTTTGGCCAATGTTAATGTTGGCTAATAGTAATAGCAATATTTGGACTTGAAATTTAAGATATATAGCCACAAAGATACAGAAGTGTGTTGATTATAAAACAACAAAGTAATTCATGAATTTGATATTGTTAGCTTCCAAAAAACTCTTCGTCACCATTATTTTGGGTCAGAATTGCCAAAGGCAAAAGATGGCTTATCCTTGCTGTGAAATTTTGGGGGGAACTTGGTTTTTGATGATTTTAGGATAATAAATACATTTTCTTTTCTTTCTCACAAGTATTGGGAAATACTACCAAGAAACACTACTGAAAATGTGTTTCAGAGATCACTAGTTCAAGAGATCTTAAACAGAAGGGTTCCAAGTCAAAAGAATGAAAGGAAAATGCTACGTGCTATCTCCCTTCAGGAGAGTCACAATGCACAGTGGCTACCAAACCCCGCAGGATCCTGGGCATGTTTTATTGAACTTTTGTAAACAGTTTCCTAACTCCACTCCTGGAGAGGTTGATTCAGGCTATCAGGCTAAGGCAAACCTGTTATTTTTAAATGCTCCCCAGGTAATTTGATGTAACCAGTTTGCCATCCACTGCTTATCTTAAATGCTCCAAAAAGTCCTTCACTAAAGAACCTGTTTAAGTTGATTGACTTACAGCTCCCCAAAGTTATTTAATCGTGGAAAGTTTCAAAAAGTAAAATTCACAGTGCCCTGGCTGAGTGGTTCAGTGGGTTGGAGCATCAGCCTGTACACCGAAAGGTTGTGGGCTTGATTCTCAGTCAGGGCACATATCTAGGTTGCAGGTTTAATCTCTGGTCAGGGCAGGTACACAAGGCAACTCTTTCTCTCTCTTCCTCTCTCTCTAAAATCAGTAAACATATCCTCACATAAAAGGCTGGATCTGAATGAGGGAGAAGGTCAAATGAGGTCGATTTTACCACAGTGTTTTTGTTCCATCTCTATGCATGGGGAAAAGAAAAGTCTCCATGAAAAAATAAAGACAGCCTCTCCTACACTAAATCCATTTTTCATCAGGTTTAAAAACCACAGAGTAGGCCTGATTTTGTAGGAACTCTTTTTCGGTCAATGCATTTCAAGGTTCAGTTAGCTAAACTTGTTTGCATAAAAAGGCATTTTCTACCTTGACTCAGAAAATGACATTTCATGTGGTTGAAGAATGCCAGTTTCACAAGCCCCCAGGGTGGGACGAAATGATGCAAACTGGGCCAGAGGCTAGCTTCTAGGTTGGACGCCCTCTGCGGGTGTCTCCGATCATTCTCACCAAAGTTCACACACGCTTACAGCACTCCACAGAGGCACTGTACTGGGCCACCAGCCCAGACTTGACCAGACTGCCTCGGTAGCAATTCAAGAAAATGAACCCCCTACCATCCCAATGGCAGCTCAGATCTAGGGGCGTGGAGCCTGCCACACTACACGCAGGCTGCCTCTGGTACCATGCCAGCCAACTCCTATGTATCAACTGAGCATGTGAGTACAGGGCGAGCCACGAAAGGGCAAAACAGTCTTTTCCCAGGACCTGTGGCCCCCAGTCGGTAGAGACACAGAGCCCAGACACACCTCACGTCTATATTTAAGAACTGCAAAAGCTCAGTATGGACAAAGCAACCTCCTCCTGCAAGCCTGGCCTGACTGCCCCACCTCCCCCTGGCATTTCACCAAGCCAGTGCCCCACCCCGGCAGACCACCCCCACCCCCCGACCTCCACGGGGCTCTGACAGGGCTTGGGCCATTGCTAAGCCTCTAATTCTACACTGGTTTCAATACTTTCCCCTTCACATTTTGCCTCTTCATCAGCATCCATCAATAATGTGGGAAAATCCATACGAAATTTTCTGTACGTTATCCCCTTTCCTAGTCACATGTTACTAGAATCGTACCAAACCACTCAAAGCTAGTAGAGCACTACAGAAAGAGCAAGCCTTGGGAAGTCAAACCCACCTTGGCAAATAGGAATGAGGCAAATTGTAGGGAGCTGCCACACCTTTGTAAATGCCTGGGCCAGCCGCTGGGCTGCCCTGATGAAGAGCACTAGTTCAAAACTCACCCCCCCGCCCTTACTTCCTACTTGTAGGGTCTTGGGCAGGTTGCTTATACTTTCAGTTCCTTAGTTTCCTTAACAGTAAACAAAGGAGGACAATGACATCAACTACACTGATGGTTGGGATAATGCAAATAAAGTGTTTATCAGATGGATGTGGAGAACGTTACCCTAAGCGAAATAAGCCAGTCAGAGAAAGGACAAATACCATATGATTTCACTCATATATAGAATCTAATGAACAAACTGAACAAGCAAAATAGAGAGACTCATAGGTAGAGAGTGGGCTGACAGCTCGAGCGGGGGACGGGGGAGCAGATGTTAATGGGTGGAGCAACTAAACACAAAGGAAAAAGGCCTCGTGGACATGAACGACAGTGGGGTGAGTGCAGGGGAAGGCTGTATAAAGGGGATAAATGATAACGGGAAAAAAAATACAAAGAAAAAGAAAACTGAAGTGGTCATCACGATGCCTGGTAATATATGAGATTAATCGGTCCCCACCAGGTGCTTCCCTCCCGACATGTCAATCCAACAAGCATTTCTGTGATGCACCAACACACCACCTTCGCCACTGCCTTGGAAACACCCGACTGCTTTGTGGCCTCGTACCTGAAGGGCTTGCTGTCAGGGTCAGTGTCCTTGAACCCCATCTCCTCAAGCTTACAGCGCCGATACAACTCATAGTGGCGAGTGTGAGTCTGTTCTCGCAAATCTTCCATGTTCACGCGGATCAGCATCTCCCGAAGTTTCACAAAATCACAATGGTTTTCATTCTCAACTGCAAGAGATGGGGGAGGGGAAGTGGGGGAAGGGAAGTAGGGGAGGGGAGAGGCTGCTATCAGCAAATAACGTCACTGATATCTGAAGTGATGTTTCCAAGATGTTACCAGTGTTCCTGAAATCTCTGAGGACTCAAAGCCACCTTAGGATCTTTGACTAGATTCGCTTTACTTTCCCACAGAAGACAAGGTTTCCGACGTGGACCATAGTATTGAGGACAGGAGTGACTGCCGAGTGCCTGCTCAGTGCAGGGCACTGTGGGAAGAGATAAACAAATACTGTCTTTACTCTTCATAATAATTCTGCCAAGGAGGCACTGTGACTCTTGCTTTGCAGCGCAGAGCTTGGTTTTGCTCACTTAGAGGTCACAGAGTCTATATTCAAACACCACGATGTCTGGCTTCAAAGATAGGCCTGCTTCTACCGCTCCATGCTGCCTGGAGCTGTACAAGGCCTTTTTTATATACCACCTCTTTTAATGTTGTCAACACTATGAAGAATATTTTCTTCTTGTAGAGAAATTGGTAAGATTTACAAAAATTACAATTTTCCTAGGATCTCAAAGATATTGTCTCTTCTCCTCACAGATTTATAGCCTTTATTCAGAACAAAGGAATAAACCAATGAAGGAACTTTCTGGAGGCATCCTGCTTAATCTACAGCACTGGACGTCCTGCTTCAGAACACACAACGAGGGCAGGTAATAGAGTCCTTGCTCATCCAAGTGGCATATGGGAAGCTCCTTCAGGTTAGCGACTGTGGTCCTATCTCACAGTGCCAAACATGGGTCAGATATTCTCTTAGTTCTCAGATATTTACTGAGATAACACTTAACTGGAGGACAATGTTTCTAGAGATAAACAAGGATGGAACACCTATTCTCTTGTTTGCAAGAAACTCTCTGCAGCTTTCTTGCACTTTACAGATGAAACTGGTTCACACTCCTAGGGAGGAACTCTTTTCTATCAGGAATTTATACTGAATTTCCCACACAATCCATCCTTCTTAGGGGCTGCCTCATTGGCATTTGGGTTTTGCAGCCACCTCTCTCCATTGTCACCGCTGCCTACCTGGTTGCTATTTCTTTCTCACCTTGACGAACGCCAGGTGTACAGCCCAGCTGCTCCCTTCCACCCGCCCATGACTAAGGACCTCCCCAAACACGGTGGGGCGGGAGGAAGGTGGCTGCTGAGCACAGGGGTTAGGTGTGGAGAATCCCTTCCCTGTGTCGCACACATACCCTGCACCACACCCCACGGGTACTGCCGGGCCTTGGCCATCTTGTTGCCGATCTTGACCTCTTCGGTGCTGCCGACCACTGCGAATGGCAGGTGTACCTGCCAAGCAACACAAGGACAGAGAGACAGTGAGTCCTCACTTCACGTCATCAGCAGGTTCTTGGAAACTGCAACTTTAAGCAAAATGAGCATAAAACAAAATCATTTTACTATAGTCTAACTGATATCAACAAGAGTTTCTATGGCATATTTCTGGTCACAAAGACATCATCAAACTTCCAAAGACCCAAAACACTTCTAAACATAGAAATATATGCGAGCTACACATACAGTTAAGAAAGATAAATAAAAACAAGTGAAATCATTATATTGCAACCCGCTGATTCTAGTTCTTGGTCGAGGGTGGCCGGAACCTGTCCTGGCAGCTCCAAACACCAGGAGGGTCCGCTCTCTGGACAGGGCGCCCACCTTCCATCACAGGGCACACTCACACCCACACTTAGCCTGGGACAGTGTGGACACACACAGGTTCATCCGAACGTGCACATAGTTGAGATCGTGGAGGGTGAGGGGTGTGGCGGAGTCCTCGGAGAAAACCCACGTGGACACGGGGAGAACACGACAACACACAGACAGCGGCCCTGGCCAGGAACCCATTCCCCCGCCCCCGCCCTCATCAACACTGAACCAAATGACGTTATGGAAGAAGCTGCTGCAGTTTCCTTCCCCGGCGCTGGCAGACTGGTTTTCCACCTGCCTCTACACCCTCCCCATGTCAATAGGCCTCTACTAAGTGGCAAGAGAAACCAGGGAGGGTAAGAGAGGGAGGAGATGCTGCAGTCCAGTTGGGGTGGGCTTCCTGTACCCTACCCCTCCCACACCCAAATTCTGAATATCTGATATGAGCTAGATCCAAGGTTAATCTGTATGGATCTTTGCAACTCAACAGGAAGCTTTAGACACACGCTGTGTGATGCAGTAGCCACTAACACACGTGGCCCTTGAGTGTTTGAAATGGAGCTTGTGGGATCAAGAAACTGAATTTCACTTTGCTTCAAACTCAAATCTTCTAAAAAGCAAAGAACCAGTTTTGTCAATGCAGATGTAAAGATTAAAGGAAAATTATCTTTTTGCAGCTTATTTTATATTAAAAAAATTTTTCAGTATGTTAGGAGTAACTGGGGGTGCACCCAACTTGGGATGTGTTATAATTGTAAAAATATATGCTGGATTTCAAAGCCTTACTATGAAAATACCTCATTAGTGATTTTTATATTTATTACATGTTATAATGATAATGTTGGACATATCAGGTTAAATAAGTTCTTAAAATTACTTTCATGTTTCTTTCCACTTTTTTTAATGTGGCTACTAGAAAATTTTAAATTCCTTGTGTGGCTCGTATTACATGTCAGTTCAACAGCACTGCTTTTGATAATTGACTATTGCACAAAATTCAAGTTAGAAAGGCACTGGAGCCCCTCATTATCAGCCCAAGCCTTGCACCCAGGCTTACCGCAAGCAGAGACGATGCTCAAGACAATTGAGTGTTCCACATTGGTCTATTCAGGAGCTATGGCTACATTCTGGGGAGAAAACAGGAATTCTATCTTTTTGCTATTAGCATATGAGTAAGAACGTTTGAAATGACTCCCCGATCCAGTGTTCTTCCACTACAGATATGCTGAGAAAGGCAAGAATATTTTAAAGCCAAGTTCTCTCCCACAGGGCACTTGGCATAACCCTCTGCCCAGGCCGCCCAAGCGGCATTTGTTTTCTGTTGCTCAAGATATTGATTGATATTGTCTAGTTTGTCTCATGGTCCTTAGGTAGGAAGGAAAGCACATCCCTTACTCAGACTCCAAGTCAGGAGCTGAAATGTGTTCCCCAAGGCTGAGGAGCAACAGGACCCTTCCAGCCAACATTTTGACTTAATGACCAAGGAAAGAGCTTCCTCCACACAAACCGAGTGACAAAGCAACCACCAGTGAAGCCTTTTCCACATTTCACGTGGGATTTCGTCACCCAAAGTTGTTTGCAACGAAGACCCAAAAGAAAATTTCATGGTAAGATCAAGATTAATTTGGGAATGTCAAAGATCTTCAGTTCTATTAATCTGATAAAGAGAGAAAGAAAACAAAAGGGTCATGGGTACTTTCTTTCCAGGGAAGTTAACACAATTTAGTTTCATGACTGCAAAATAATTTTAAAAAATATGGGAGAGATATGAAGAGAAAATCAGATGATATTCATTCATGTTCCTTCCTGAATCCTACATTGACACCCAAATTGCAGTTCAATGGAAGAATAAACAAGTGGCATCTCAGCCCAAGTCTTGGACAATGGTACAAACAAGCACAACTGCCCTGCTCAGGTGGCACTTAGCATAAAGGGGGAGCATGTCTGCTCTAGAGTGAAGCTGCCTGGGTTAAAATCCCATCTCCACCCACCAACAGCTGTGCAGTCTTGGGTGTGTGGCTGCCATTTCTCATATGTGAGGTAGAAACAATAATAGTACCTTCTTGTGGGATTATTGCAAAAATTAAGTGTAAAGCCTTGAGCCCTGGCTCGTGTGCCTCGGTGGGCTGAGTGTTGGCCTGCGAACCGAAAGGTCGCCAGTTCGATTCCTAGTCAAGGGCACATGCCCGGGTTGTAGGCCAGGTCCCCAGTTGGTGGCGACTGATGTATCTCTAACACATTGATATTTCTCTCCCTCTCTTTCTCTCTCCCTTCCCCCCCCTCTAAAAAATAAATAAATACATAAAATCTCCAAAAAGCTTTTTTTAAAAAGTGTAAAGCCTCGAACAGTACCAGGTGCATAGTAAATGCGCTATAAATGTCAAAAATGTCAGGTGCTATTATTATCACGAAGCTCTCAATGCCCAGAACCAGAGAATTTTAGAGGAAGAAAAGACCTTATGTTTCACTTTGACCCAATATAGGAATTCCCTCCAAGTTCTCTCTCCTGAGTTGAAACAATTCGTTGTTTACCTGCCACTTGGGAAGGGAACTCGCTACCTCCGTGGGGTGTTTGTTGAATGGCAGTGGTGCCCCCGTCAACCTTCCTATGGGCCCAAACCCCTCCCTCCCTGCCCTCTTGCCCGTTCACTTTGGTTCTGTCTTTAGAATAAGTCCAGTCATTCTCCCTTAGGACAACCTGCCTTTCACACCCCGCATGCCTACTTCCCAGAAAGAACTGGCTCTCCAGTTTCTTCCAGAGACTTTACTGTCCCGGCCGCAGAAGGATGACAGCCAGGGCGGGTCACACCACTCAGAGTGTGACCAGACTAGGGCAGAGTGGAGCCGAACTATCTCTGCATTAATGAGACCCCTACATTTTAAATTCATATAATAGTGGACCCAGAGAGGAAGACAGTTACATGGGCTTCCAAAGTCCTCGTTGTATTGAGATTAATTTCAGGAGGAATTATGATGACAAGCATCAAGCTGTGTACAGGACTGGGGACCAGGTGGGCTGGGTTGCAATCTCAAAGCTGCTATTAACTAGATGGCTTTGACCACATCATCTTATTCCCTCAATGAACTTCAGCCTCAATGACTCCCTTTATACAGAATGTCCACAATGGGCAAATCTGGAGAAAAGAAAGTGAATTAGGGATTGTCTATGTCTGGGATGGTTGGAGAATTAGCAGCGAACTTTCTTTTTGGGGTGATGAAAATGTTCTAAAATTGTTCGTGACATTGGTTGTATAAGCCTTTGAGTATACTAGAAACCACTGAATTGTACAGTATATCAATTATATCTCAATAAAGCTATTAATTTGTTAAAAGTGTCATTTTGTACATTTAACAATGGCATGATTAGACAGAATGTTTCATGTTCATATCTCCTAATGAAAGAACATACCTCAACCTTCCACAAATTTAAAACTTTAGACTGACTTCTGCTGCCAGTAGCACATATCGGGGTCAACTTTGAGCGTGTATTCAGGTAAGGCCAAGCTATTTGGTAGCTTTTAATTACATTTCACTGAAGGTAACCTACCATTTTAAGAATTCCAAAGAGCATCACTAGATATCAACAACATGCAAAGAATGCTGCTTTTAGAGAAGTTACACATTCCCAGAAGAAAAAACGTACGGAGAGTCACCGTGGCTCAGATGCACAGAGCAGCGGGAGGCTGCGGCTGCCCACTGGCAGGACGGGCCCTCGCTGGGGAGACTGTATCGCAGGCACAGCGAGACTGCTGAGGCTTCAGCCACAACCTCCTGCCCGCTCCGCCCTGTGATGTGGGAATTATACCCCCAAATGCTGGTTTACTTAATAATTCAGGAAAGGTGGGGGAACAGAAAAGTCAGGAACCAATCCCAGAAGCAAAAGGGAGGCAGGCTGGCTTCTGTCAACCTTGGCACCAGCAAGCAGAGACCTATTTCCTTTAAGCTGCTTTATGTGAAATGGAAATGGGCTGGCATTCCCTTTCCACAAGATTTGCTATAGAAATCATAATTGTTAGAGTGGGAAGGAAATTTGAGATCATCTGGTTTAACTCTCCCATTTGATAGACGGGAACACTGAGCCGTAGGGTGGGTACCTGACTTGAAACAGTGGCAGAGCTGGACCACACTGAAGACGTCGGATTCCCTGCCAGCGTTCCAGCCTCTCTACAATGCTGACGCTAAGACAAGCCTTCAGGAAAATCACTGATTGGTCCTTTCTTACTTGAGGACTTACACTCATTGTTGCATTAATCTCTGCCACGGTTTCTTCATCTGTGGGGAACTGGTATATCTGGACTCCATTGCTGACCAGTTCGCTCATGATCTTACTTTTGAATTTGTGCAACTCGTTCTTGGCGATGGTGTCAGCTTTTGCAATTATTGGAATGATGTTCACCTATAAAACAAACATATCCATTTTTACACAATTCCAATGTAAGAAAAATGATTAGACAAATGAATAGAACATAGCAAACACATAAATAAAACTGGTAAAACTACACTTTAAAAAAGATATTAAAAATGGGACTTTTGACCTAGATGCGAAATTAAGAAGACATGGGATAATCTTTAGTTCTATCCGTGAACACTTCTACTTCCTCCCATCTGCACTGAAAGCATACTTGTAACTTCCTCTTGGGCTACCTCTTTCTTCTTTACAAAGTAAAAGGAAATGTTACTCCATGACAAATAGCGATAACAAAGAAACTATTCTTTTAATAACCAACCACTCCTTTTAGGCCCCTCCCAGCTCCTTTAGGGACTTGATTTTTGCATGTTCCTAGCAGTGTAATAATAAAGTGTTCCTTAGTTAGATTAGTGGAATAATCACCCCCACACAGGGTAACATCTTTTCTTTCTTCCGATAACCCGAAAACTGCTAAGAGTGAAGCACCTAAATTTTAGCCGAAACAAAAATGGTTTCACCTACTTTAAAATTTTTCAAAATCACACCAAGTAATTCTTTTGCAAGTCAACTTCTATCACATTGCTCCTACATGTATCCAGTCTACAGGATACATTTTTAAGGTTAACTTTCTTCCCCTCCCTGGTAGGTACAGAGGTTTCAATAAGATGCTGCTGGCATCTGATACCCGGGACCGTACCCTCCACCTGGCTCAGGTGAAAAGGGACCGCCTCCCTGAGAAAGCAGTCCTGGCCAGGGGAGAGAGTCTTCAGGGAGCTTTTCCAGGTCTTGTCTGTATTCCTCTGCTTCTCCTTTTATCCCAAGAGACCAATCAAAAATCCCTGGTAAACCAGAATGAGATGACATGCTGACAGGAAAAACCCATTCCTCAACCTGCTCCTGACCTCACCCCGCCTGGGCTTCCGCCAGTGCATGGCGGACTAAAAACACACCCGTGACAGTGCGGGGCACGTTTGGATCAGGACTCAAGGAACAAAAACTTTCCACTTGTTCATATGGGCTATCTTTTGTACACATTGAATAGTCTGTTAATATCCACATAGACAAAATGGTAGAGGGTCATTGTTTTCTGGCAATTTGATCAGAGTAGATAGACAAACCAGGCAATTTAGACTTAAGGTCTCTCTTTCCTCAGTGAGAAGTACTTGCAAATCTTTTCTGAAATGATCATTATGTTTGCCTTAACTCTTCACTTTCTTTGTATAAACAAACCTTCGACAATATCGTTTTCAGATGCTCCCTAGCACTAACTCTGTGATGATATCAGTTGTTTGAAAGCAGTTTAACTCCCTCGTAGTGACTTTTTCTTTTTAAGCTACATTTGTTTTGCCTTGTTTTCTTTTCCTTGGAAAATCAATGCTAGTAGACATAGTCCTCTGCTGGGTGCTCGCCTGGCCTCTCCACGGGGCCTCCCGTGAGGAAGCCGCCCGCCTCTCCGCCGTTCCCACCCACTCACAGGGGCAGGACGGCACTGGGCCGGGCCTCACTGCCCGGGCCCCCACCACTGATGGTGCACTGCAGCTGAATCGGAGGCGATGAAGAAGGGTTTCTATTTATTCTCCCAACAGTACTCTAGCTGAAGAAATCCTTTCAGGCTGTTGGAATATCCTTCTATAAACCAGTGCTGGAAGCCCAAGGAGCCTGGCCCTGCTTCAGGCCCCTGCAGGCCCTTCGCGGGCTGATTCAGAGAGCGGCCTTGGGGACAGGCCGATGTTCTCGGCGTCCTCTCACTAGTATGTCTCTCTGGAGAGAAGCATATTCTAAACCTAGTTGTTTGGACAAAAAAAAAAAAAAACCAACAAAAACAAAACCAACAAAGCCCTCTAAGAAGAGACTTTTTATTGAACTCAAAAGGAATCTAGAATCTTGGAGAAATACCATTGCTTCATTTTGTGGTTGTTCACATTTGCCGCTGATTTATTTCAAAAGGTATTTATGTTCTGTTTATCTCAAAATGAAAAATTAAATCAATTGAAAAATATATCACCCAATGTTATCAAACTTACCAGTCCCTTCCTTCAAACACTGTGGAAGAGGGAGGTTAGGAATGTAGACAGCTCAGGGGTCAAACTAAAACTAAGGCTTTACTTCTTTCCACCACGTGGGTGCAGTTTAGTTTTAAAATCTAAGAAGGTGGACTGTTGTCACATAGATAAAAAATGAACTTTTTTTTCATGCCAAACTTCAAATTAAAGCCAAACCTTTAAAGAAATCTAACGATAGTTTTTAAGGAAATAAACAAATCATGAGTTTATGTTCTAATCTTCCTAAATTTCACCCCTCCTATGACTCTTTCCTGTCTTGACTAGGTAATTCCTCAACCCTCACCAGAGCACACACTGTTGCTAGCTTAAGAACTAAAAATACTTTGTAACAAAGCTACATAGCTTTGTTTGTTTCTTTTGTTTTGTTTTCTCCTAACCTCCAGAGAGGTTTTGAAGCATTTCTCTGACGTTGCTCAATCCTATGGTTCTATAAACCAGGAAACACAAATTATGGGTTTGAGGGGAGGGGGGAGGGATGAATGGGCAGAGCAGAGAGGATTTTTAGGGCAGTGAAACTACTGTGTATGATACTATAATGATGGATACATGTCGTTATGCATTTGTTCAAACCCATAAAATGGACACCAAGAGTGAGAGCCTCAGTGTAAACTATGGTCTTTGGGGGGATGTATTAATGCAGTTCACTGATTGTAACAATGTACCACCCTGGTGGGGGGACGCTGGTAATGGCAGAGGCTGTGCATGTGTCAGGGCAGGGGGTGTATAGGAAACCTCTGTGCCTCCCTCTTAAATTTTGCTGTGAACCTAAATCTATTCTTAAAAAAAAAAAGCAGGGGGGGGGTATAAAATAAAACAGAACAAAAAAATTACAACGAGAGCAGAGAATAAATTGGGGCCTTCGAATAAAGGTGATCTACAAAGTAGAGTGGAGAGAACCAGAGTGGCAGTGAGTACCTTACTGTCCAGCTTTTTCATGGTGACCAGGTCCAGGGACTTCAGCGAATGCCCAGTAGGGGCAATGAAGTAGAGGCATGCATGGATCCTGGTGTCGTGGTAGTTGAACAGAGAACGCTTGATCTTCAGTTCCTCTTGCAAGTAGGCCTCAAATTGGGCATCAATATATTCCACTATCGGCTTATAGCTAGAATGCAGAAGAAGGCTTTCTGAAACACATTTTCGGGTCAGCACGTTTCTAGTCACAAACCTCTTGCTCAGGTCCGCGCGGCCCGGTGCGCCAGGAAAGCCTGCAATGCTCCCCTCCCGGAGAGCCACAGCCTCGGTTCCGCGGCATCCGGGCCTTCTGTCCTCTGGTCCCTGGGCATCTCTCCAGGCGCCCCTTTCCCACTGCTCCCCAGCTCACCACTTCTGTCCCAGCCACGCACAGCAACTCTGCCTCCCACCCCCTGATCTAGCCTCTCCACCTGCGACAGCCTTCTTCCTCTTATTTTCCTGGCTAACACGCATCCTTTAACACAGAGATGATAAACATGTGGTGCATGCCGTCATTTTCCTTGGGGAACCCGTGAAGATATTGTTAAGAGATCGTGGCAGTCTATCCTCCTGGGGCAAAACGGAGCTTCCAAATCTGTCCCAACAAAGTGATTTTGACAGCCTGCACCAAACGATGGAGATGGGTGCACAAAATAAAACTGGCTTGTGATTTCAGGAGAGGGCGCCGCCGCTTCCTGGGAGCTCTTGCCGGGTCCTTTGCCCCACGCGCCCAGGGGTGAGGGGCCCTCCGTGCTCTCTCGGAAAGCGCTGTGCACACTGCATGATTTCAGCTATAAACGGAAGTGCCTGGAACATTATGATCTTTAAGATTCTTCCCGACTCTAAATTTTATGATTTAAAGATAAATTTTATAACCCTCTCTTCTCATCAAATCATAATTCAAATATTTTTTGGAGTATTATGTAGGATGCTATTAACTGACTATAAATGCAACCGTTAATAGCATATTGGGAATACATATTCAATAAAACCGCATGTTCTCCAGGGATTCAGTGGTGCATTAGGTCACTGGATAAGCCATGAACTCTCTCAGGTCCCTAAGAGAAGTGAGTGTCAGCAGCAACAAAGTTGGTCTGTTAGGACTACAATAGGTTAATTCTTCCCAAATTTACTATGTTGCTGAGGAATGATTTAAGCTTTAAGAAATATAAAAGCCTTCCAATATTGAATCCCAGGACTATGAATTAACGGTAACACTTGAAAGGGAACTACAAATATTTTATAATGAAGATGACAGCAGACACCTTAACAGAAAAAACAAAAAACCAAAATAAAAACAAAACAACATCAAATAAATTTATGACTCAAACCAAAGCTGTCAGATAGAAGCTTTCGATGACATTTTTCCTTGGTAGCTTATCACAGACCATTAATTAGTTCACTGTAAGCACACAAAACTTTCCAGGGATTTAAAAAAGTAGAATGTGTCTTAGCAATAGAAATAAAAAGTTCTAGATCATGACAAGCAAAGTGCCAGTGAAAAGAATGAGCAAGTGATGAGTCTTCTATGTTTTCCAATTTTAAAATGTCAGATATTATATAACAGTAGTAATCATTGTTATCACAGGGTAGTTACATAGGATGGTGGTTCAAAGTATAGGTTCAAGCCAGACCACCCAAGTCCAAAATCTAACTCTACAACATACTTGCTGTGCGACTTTGGGCACGTTACTAAATCTTTCTGTGTCTCAGTTGCCTCCTAGGTAAATCAAGGACAAAAGTAGTATCTGCATCAGAGTGCTATTGTGACAAATAAGTGAGCTAACAGATGTAAAGGACTAGCACATAAAAGATAGAACTATTTCACAGTAATATAATAAGCAACAAATACAAGAAAAGCAAGCCTGACTTTTTTTAAAAACGGGGGCAAAAACAAGAGAACCTTACCCCCACCCAGTTCCGTGGCAACTGCCTGCTGCTGAGCTCAAGCCCGGCCAGAAATGCACCAGCGCCTCCAGCGAGGGCCGCCAGCCCTGGCAATCCAGGGCCCGATCTTTCAGTCTCCTGACACTGAGGCATGTGTCTGGGGACGCAGGGTGCTCCCCCAATATCCTCTCAGCCCCAAGGAGAGGAAAAGCAGCTCACGGCAGTTGGTCCTTTCGGTCTCCCTAGTTCCTGATTTGCCTCTCAGCACCTCCTCCCCAGCAGTTGTCCAAGTATATTCTGCTTTCTATTAACTTCCCTTTTTGCCTCTGGTTTTGATTCTGATTCTCCAAGACTATGGAAGACAGAACTTCTCTCCTTTGCAAGTGCGGAATACTTTCTGCCCTAGATTCAATTGTTCCCTTACATCTCTGATTTCCTGTTGCGGAGTCTTGACCAGTCTTTCCGTCTCCTTCTTCCCTTCTATGTGGTCTCCCTGGAAAATCGCGGTTATTCCTTTGTTTCACCTGCCATCTACCTGATGATGATGGATCACATATCTCCTCTTGCAGCCCAGCTCCTTCACCTGAGCTTCAGACTCATCCATCTGTTTACCAGATATTTCCATTTGCTCTTCTAACAAAATGAGTCCGAAATCAAACTCGGAACTCCGTCTTGTTGCCAAACCCACAATATTCCTCAGCACAGTGAATGGCACCTCCCTCCACACTGCCGTTGGGTCAGAAACCCGGGATTCAACCCAGAGGTCCCGTCCTACCTCCGGCACATGAAATCCCATCCATTTTCTGTATCATTATAAATTAATAAAAAATGTATTCCAGGAGAACTCTTTACCAAAATCACGTTTTCCTATGTCAAAGATTTAATTATGTTGATGAAAGTTTCCTTCTGATGCACAACAAGCTGGCAAAGCTGCTTCTACTCCCCTTCACAACCCTTTAAACAAATCTTCCGCCCCCTCTCCTCTGCCTTTCCACTTCTTGTTATCAGCACACAGTCATAAAGATAAGGACACTTAATCCCTATTTTGCCTTTTGCTAGTTTCCATTCTTATAGAAAGGACAACTATTTATATTCCTCTTGGCCAATGCAAACTTCTCTGGATTGCAGCCATATAAGTCAGAGGAAATGGGGGAGGGAGGATCTTATCTAGCCCTTACATTTTCACATAATTTCCTTCTATGGCATGGGGAGATTCCCTTTTACCCACCACTCATTTTTTCATACACCTCCAACCATTAAAAACACAGTAAGATGAGAAATGCTTGACCCTGAAACTGATGGAAAAAATATTTATACAATGTTTTCTATCCACCCAAGCCACATACTGCTCATTCTTGCAAAGCAGGCAATGCTACCACTAGGGACTGACTCCACACTCTCTGTGTAACCAGACACCGGCCACGGATTTGTACCATCTTGCTATCTGTTAGCCCAGGGCAGTATTCTTTATCCCTCAACTACCTCCACCAAAAAGTGTGGGAAAAAAAAAACCCCTTAGAATTCCAAGACCAATCAATCTACGTCAGTTCCACTTTGATAACTCTGATGAAGATTGGGTGAGTCTGAGGATTCTGAGTGAATTTCAATCATCCATGCTTTTCAGGGCTAATTATCATTATAGTTAATGAGAAGCCATTGGCAGTCCACCTCCCTCTCCCAAATGCAGGGCTAATCATTTAATTTCAAGTTATACAGCAAAACTTGGTTTCCCTTCTTCTCCAGATCCCTTTCCTTCTTCACTGAAGAGTACAGACGGCAAAACAAGGAAGCCCTTAAGCCACCAAGAGTTAATCTCATTATTAAACATAACAGGAAACCTTACCAGATCTCTCTTCCTGCCTCCTTCTAGCCAGCCTGGTCCCAGGCAGATAATGATGCAGGAATGCTGACAAGCCCGAAGCCTACATAAACAAACTGGGACATTCTTGGAGTCTTGCATCAATGGCAGAAAAGCTTGCCTAATCCCCAAAGTAGTACAATAATCATGGGTTTAGACAAACAGCACATCCCTTACCATATGGTTACATATCAATGCAAAAATGCATATCCCACCTCCAATTTTTTGATGGGTGCAGGGTCTATCTGAATAACTACTTTGAACAGTCATTTCAGTTTATAGTCAATAGCGTCAACAATGCCCTTCTGGGGCACCGAGTTCTAAATGCCATTTGAAGAGGTTATGCAACAACTGTCAAGAAATTTCAGAAGAAAAAAAATATACCTAGTATCTAGGTTAGGTTAATATCACACTTCCTCTCTTCTAAATCTCCTTGGAAACTATTATTTGACCCAAATGAGTCCGATAATTTCTTAAAGAGGCCTTCAGCTGCAACTACGGGGATGGTATTGTTCTAGCCGCTTGCTGCTCAGCACCGATGAGCGCAACCCCACCCACCTGACGCAAAGTCCCTGTGTAGGGGAGAGGCAGCAAGGCGGCAATGACTCTGACTCTGAGCTGGAACAGCACGTGGAACCTTACCAGCAAGATGCTGGAGGAAGGTTCTCTTTCCTGCAGAGAGGCATCCTGAAAAAGTCCATTGGCTGCCTTCCAAATGGAGTGCACACACATGACATTCTCTGACCCCAGGAAGAAACCCGCGCAGGCCGGAGAGATGGGGATCCGCCTTGCTCTGAGTGTGCACTGCAATTGCGTGATGACCGGGAGCCCCCCCCCCCCCCCCCCCTCGCCCCGCTCTCTCCCAGGCTCCCACAATGCACCGATGCTCTTTTTCTTTTCGCCAGGATTTTCTCTTCACCCATTCCCTTTAACATTACAAACAGCCCTCAGGCAGCACCCTCTCCATCACTCTGTGGCATTGAGGTCATATATTAAGAGCGGCTGCTCAGCTGCAGGGCCTGAGCTCAGCTGTGTCCCACCCCAGCACAATGTACAGATAGTCCATTTTGACCAGATGCAAAATAAAATCTCTCTCACTATATCTAACAATTTCTCCTGTTATTACAGGACAATGTTTATGAAAGGGCATTTAAATTGCTCTATAGATAAAATAGAGCTCAGTGCTCCGCTACATAATGAATTAAGTGTTTCTCTAGCATGACCATGGTGCTCACATATATCAGGGAGAGTTAAAATACAGGGTGAGGCAAAAGTAGGTTTACAGTTGTGAATATGCTGAACAGTTCATTCTTGCACTATTATTTACTAATTATTGTTATTATTTTCCATCTGAACAACTGTAAACCTACTTTTGCCCCACCCTGTATATCTAGGCAATACATGTGTCTAGATAAAAATATTCAAGTTCCTTTTAACAAAACACATGTATATAATATACACAATTTTAAGGAACACGGGAGAAAACACATGAATGGAAAAAACCCTGGTACTAATGAAGTTTCTAAGCCTTAGGCAAACGCACAATAAATTCCCGACTTGGTGAGTTAGTCCCATAATGCTGTCACGCTCCAAAATGTCTCAGGAAGCCCCCCTTCTGGAACCATCTTCGGGCCTGGGACAGTTTTAACTTCCTCGAAACTTCTCTTGAGATAAAATGGAATATTCAGAAGAGCCAGCCAGAAGTCAAGATATTCCCAATAGATCTTTTATAAAAATGTTTTCTTCACTTTGGGTGTTTAGGAGCGACCCAAGGCAGAAGCCACATGGGGAAAGATGGCGGAGGCATTTGGTTCTATGTGACAGATCTGGCAGACGTTTTAGAGACCTGGCCCCCCAGGGATCCAGGTACCAAAACCGTAGAAGGTGGTTGGTGGCAGGGGTTTCTCCTAACTGTCCTGTCAGGTGGTTGGATGTTTCTGTTTCTCTAGGTTGCTTTTCCTGATGGGAAACCCCCCAAACCTGATTCCGGCCCTCCTGGAAAAATGTCTGCAATTAGCCTATTCCTTCTAGCAAACCCCTTCGCCGCTTACACCAGCTGAAACCGATTCGGCTAGCTGATTCTGACCTCAAGAAAGTTCCATTCTAAGAAAATTCTCAGAGGACATGCATGTCTTATCTTTTAGGTGATAGGGTTGGACCAACCCCCATAACCAGTGAACATTTAGCCTTTGACTTTACCAGGGATGGGTCCTGTTATTGCTTCATCCATTTATATCCCCACAAAATCCCAACATATACCTGTCATCTTTATTTATCTGGTCTCCAAATCCCACAGTGTCCACAATGGTTAATTTCAGCCGGACATTGCTTTCCTGAAGCTCATAACTTCTGGCTTTTAACCGGACTCCTGGTTCATTGTGAGTAGCTGGGTCACTTTCAAATTTGGTGTTGAATAAAGTGTCCATTAATGTGGATTTGCCGATGCCCGTCTCACCTATAGGAGAGGAATCAGAGAATGTGTCAGAGCCTCTCAGGTATCAGTTCATTTCACCGGGAGCTTTTCGTAATCATGTTTGTAAAGCTTCTAAAAAAGTCATTATCACCAAAAATCCCTCCACGAAAAGATAGTCCTTTCTATGTGTGATCTATCGAACACCTCCCTAGAAATTTCTTAATACATTTTGGAAAGTATTTAGCAGAAAAATATCTTGAACTTGCAGGTCAAGGTGCTTTTCTTTAGCTCTAGATAGAGAAACAGAACAACGTAAGCTTTCCTGGGGTCAGTGTGTACACCACAGAGACACTTTCTCTCTTCTCCTCCTAATTGCTGGTGTGTAAATGTTACTTAAAAATAGTATATTGCTGAGTTTCTATTACTAGAAAAGAAAGACTTACTCCATTTATACTGAATTATCTGATACCATATACTGTTCTCAAAAAGAACTACATTTTTCAAAGCAACACTCTTGACAATAACAGCAATAACAACAAACCCAGCTAACGTTACCACATGCTTACTTTGTGCCAGGCCCTGTGGGCGAACTTCTAAGGCGTGATCTCAGTTACGGTCATACCTCAGTACTCGTCAGCTTCAGAACTCGTCAAACCCTGGACTCGTCACGCTTTGGCAAGAAAAAAATGTTCCAGCACTCGACACTTGCTCAGGACTTGTCGCACTTGCTAGAACTTGTATGAATCACTCTGCTGCCCCACAAGAGAAAATGCTTCAATAGTTCAGTACTCGTCGGTTTTGGCACTGGTCACAAGTTCCAGAACGAACTAACAAGTAACCCCTGTAAACCCTATTACCACCCTCCATGAAACAAACCAGTGCTCCTGTTTCCTCCATGTCACAGATGGGGCGCCAAGGCTTAGGTAAAGTTTAGGTAACTTGCCCAAAGTGACCGTGTTCAGTGGCAGAGCCAGGGTTCTAACCCAAATCTGTGTGACTCTAATACATACACTGAACCAACAAAGCATCCTGGTTTTACTATTACAGAAAAAAACTGACTGCCTAATATTTTCCAGTTATAGTTGTGAATTTGTGTGCATCCTCTAAGTTACCCCCATTTTCCCACTCTTCAGCCGGAGGCAAGATGACAAACACTAGATAGTTTTCCCAGTTCCAGGGTGATGTCTGTGACAACGAAACTGAATCACATTAAATAACCTCCAACATTGGCCTTACTAATTCCCATTGATAATTCAAGTCAGGAAGTGTTTACTAAGACCCTAGTACATTTAGTGCAGAGTGGCAGGTACCTCGTACCACTACACTAATCAAATGGTGAGACTCAAATGTAGAGCCATAAGCAACTTTAGCCTAACCCTGCATAATAAAACCAAGCAAGGTTCTCCTTAATTCTACCTTCTTATGAGTCAAAAATAGTTGGCAATGAGAAAGAACTCACCCCACCCTTGTTATTGGTGGTGGCGTTGGTGATTGAATAGGTGTTAGTGGAAAAGGGAAGTAGAAATCAAAGACCATTACCCATAGGAAAGCCTTTGTCTTTTTAAATCTGGAAAACCTCCTAATTAGACTTCCAGCTCAATTTCAACAAGCTAATATGGTGCAGCCTTTCCAACAAATCCCAGGAACAGCTCCTCTTCTAAACGATTTCTATGATGCCTTTTAAGATGGTGGGAATTTCATGAGGGAAAAAAGAACCTGGGGTTGAGGCCTTGGGGCAAGCCTCCCACTGTAATGGCAAAACCTGCTTACCAATCAGAAGTTCCACATTACTCATTGCTTTCCAACGGAATGCAAAAGTGAGGTAGGAAGGAGTTTTTCTGGATTTGAGCTTTCTCTAATTAGCAGCCTTGTGTGGTTGGCCACTGACTACAATGATTCACTGACAGGATGAGTCGTTCAAGTGTGTTTGCCTTACTTTTTTTAACCTTTCCCACTGGGCCCTGGATGCAGATAAGATCAAAGTATTTCTTCTTCTTTCAGCCTCCATTCAGCCAGTATTTTTTCATTGCCTATTGTGTACCAAGCTCTGTGCCAAATTCTGGGAATATGACGATGATCTAGCCTGCTATGACATTCTCCCACACCTTAGATTCTGACTGGAACATCGCTGACTGGATACCAATCAGACTCTTAATTTGTTATTATGGGAATAACATTCTAAGTGTCCGCCATAACCACATTCCTCTTACAAGCAAGACAATTCCTTACACCTAGTGACCACTAGTAATTAACCAGGGCTAGCCCCCTGAACAAAGGCACCCACGGGAGCCTAATCATTAGGCTCTGAGACAGTGCTCCACGCTGGGCAGTGACCTATCTAACCAATCACAACTTCTCTCTTTGGCAGCTTGTTGTATATTTATTAAACTGTATTTTATTCATTTATTTATTTTTAGCAAGAGGGGAAAGGAGGGAGAGAAGCATCAGTGTGTGGTTGCCTCTCGTGCGCCCCCAGCTGGGGACTTGGCCCGCAACCCAGGCGTGTGCCCTGACTAATCAAACCAGCAACCCTTGGGTTCGCAGGCCAGCACTCAATCCACTGAGCCATGCCAGCCTTAAACTGTATTTTAAGAGACACTTACATAGTCCCAACATCTCTCCCCAAAAGATATTTATCAATGACGAAGAAAAATAACTTCACAGTGGAGAAATAGAAAGACACTATATTAACTAAGTGATCAAAGTTAACAAACATCACCAGTAATAAGCATAGTGATATATGTGCCTCCTGTTATGACACTTGGACAAGGGCACAGCACCATTTTTATAATACACTTGCCAAAAAGCACAACCTAAATTTAATCAAGAGGAAACATCATACAAAGCCAAATTGAGAGAGACTCTATAAAATAAAAGTTCAAAACTATCAAGATTATGAAAGAAGAGAAAGACTGAGGGACTGTCCTAGATGAAAGAAAACTCAACAGGCACAACAATTTAATGGAATATTTAATCCTACATTAGATTCAAAGCCAGGAAAAAAAATAATAGTGGGAAAACTGAGGAATTTGAATAGGTCTGTAGATTAGTTCCCCCCCCGTATTGCATGGTCACCACCCCAAGTCAAGCCTCTGTCCATCTCCATTTATCCCCTTTATACCCCAACTCCACCTCTCCGCCCCCAGCAATCACCACACTTGTTGGCCATGGCCATGAGGTTTTTGTCTCTCCTTTTTTTTGTTTTTTGTTTTTTGCTCAATTCCCTACTCCCCCCACCCCCCACCATCTCTGGCAGTTTGAATGAGAGATGTACAATCTGCACTCATGAAAACGGCATAAAAAAGAGAAAATACACAGAGAGAAGTGAACAAGCAGAAGCCATAAGGCAGCAAAGGCTTTGGGTAAATCGAAGACATGTTGACAGACCATTAGCTGGGAATACAGGAGAAAAACAGCAGATAGATACAGTAGAGCTTACTATCTGAAATTCATTCATTAACAGTACTTGAGCATTTACTATGTGATAGAGGTGTTGGGGATAAAGTGGTGAATAAAAAATAGATGATGACAGACAGTGCTTGAACTTCTGCAATATCCTAAATGTCACTCCAGATCTCCATGAACTCTGGCTGTGGAGCAGTTGAGATTGCTTCCTGTCTTCTTTACCATCCTGAATAGTCTTACCAAACAGGCCCCATCAATAAGAGTAATCTAAACTAGTCTGTGCTCCCTAACACAATAGAGCTCAACGAGCTCATATCCATGATTCATGGCTTACCATGATAACTTTGAGCAAAACAAAGTTACTATGTAATGGATACAGAAACAAAATAAGGTCCTCACTCTTAAGATATTTAGAATCTGGTAGGCAATTCAATACTGTAGGTGATGCAGTTGTTTTATGCGTCTGTTACATGTGTAACTTTCTCAATGCGGCAAACTTCTTTTCACAATTTACCTCTTTGCAGACCATGGACAAAAGGGCAACAACAGAACTACCTTATAAAGGTCTCTGTGTAAGGTACAGATTCTGTCCATAGAAGGTGACCCATTCAACTTGCATCTCTTTCCCTAAGGACAACAAAAAAGCCTTCAATTTCCATGGCAAGGACTCCAGGTGACCTTGACAGGACTGAAATTAACATTTCATTTTACTAGGGTGAGAGTTTGTTAAGCACATGTCAATCAGGAACACCATGCCTTTTTTTTTTTTTAAGGCAAGGTAATTTTAATTATTTACATTAGGGTGGAAATTATGAACAATTAGCATTCCAGGCCCTACTTATAGCACAGGGTTAATCAGTGGGTTGGAAAAACCACCATTCCTCTAAATTTTGGAGTGCTTTACTTTCCATTTCTATGCTCTGTGCTTTTAAGAGCTGTAATTAGACACAGCTACTCTAGTAGCAGTGTGATTTACCAAAAGCAGTTCAGTGAAAAATGACAGCTTTTTGGAATGAAAGTAATTATAGAACTAGGAGAGTTTTTCAGTGCATTAGTTTTTGAGGCTGCTCTCCAGCCTCAGAAAGAAAGACATTTTCAATACTTTTATTGTCCTTCTAAATGAGTAATCGAAAGCTTACTAGGCATAGGTTCCAATTCAAACTAAAGAACTATAACAATATTTTGAGAAAATTAATGACTAATCCCAACTTTGAAGCCTTTCTGAAGTCCCTAGCAGAGTGCTTGGCACAGAGCGGGCATTTATTAAAAGTTAATTGAAAAGAAAAATGATCCTGATGATCATTTATACAGAGATCTGCCACTTTGATAGATTTTTCAGAGTTTGTTTTTTCTGTTGCAAATCCATCTACCTAAAATGCTTCGTTGTTGGGATAATTAGAGATTGACCCTCGAAGCGCTATCTGCGGCTTCTGTTTTTCCTGCTCCTGCCGACGCCGGGGCACGTGACAGCCACATCACAGTGGAAAGCAGTCCTACTGCTTCCATTCTATTCTCAGGCTTATTCAGTCTACAAACTCTAAGTTGAACATTAAAAAAAAAAAAAAAAAAAACCCACAAGGTCTCTATTATTAATTAGAAAGTAATTGTAGAGTGTTCAAAGAGTTGATCTATGAGAT